GCATCAGACCCCTGCACTGGCTCCTCTCAGCATGAAGGAGGTCCTCTGAACCTGAGTTCATGGTCACAGGTGAGGGAATGCAGACCAACCGGACCTTCACCTTCAGAACCAGCTCCGCCTGAAGGGCCACAGTCTGATCCACGTTACTGCTGACGTGGCACTGATCCACCGCACGATAATGGCCAAAATGATAATCACAATTACTTTAATCTATATTGAGATCACGATTATTAACTGATTTTAGGGACAGTATATTTTTAATGCACTTTCAAATTGAAAGAAACAGACTTTCACATCCATGTTGTGCTACATTTCTGCTAACGAACAAATCTTTGCATCAAAATAAGACTTAAAGTGCATCAGTATGTAAGTATTTTACCCTGAAAGTCCACTGAGTCCGGCTGCGTCGCGGCTTTGTTCCGTCCTCAGGAGCGGAGCACGTTGTTGATTTGTCCTTTTTGTGCTTCTGCTCGGCCCACTGGCACCGGATGTGCACGACCGTCGGGTCGACTCACAAGCACCGATCAGGACGCAGCCGGACTCAGTGGACTCAGTGGACTTACTCTTCGACTCTGGGCTGCAGCGGCAACACCCGGGGAACACGCAGCCAAAACGCCTCCTGGTGGAGTTTTAATGAGCGGAGCATTTTACACGGCAACATCGCAGTCGATCATGTTCATTTCATTGTGGGAAGCCAAAACCACCTGTGGTGGTCCCACACGGTGGTGGTTTTGCCTCTTCAAGCAGAGGATCCCCAGTCTGGGCGAAGCTACTTCAGCCTGACCGTTCTGATTCATAGAGGTGTTTGGAACTGCATTAGTCTGGACTCACGTTACAGCAGACCAACAGCGGTGCAGCTCTGCTCATTCTGTTTGACAGTACCACCTCAGACCTGCTGGTGGCGGGTTATGTTACTGCAAGTTCACATCTGTGTCTCAGCCTCAGTGTCTCTGTCCCCGATGTCTCTGCAGCCGACTAAGTTCATGGTGGGGACGGAGCAGGGCGTGGTCGTCTCCTGCAACAGGAAGGCAAAGACGCCGGCAGAGAAGATTGTCTGTACGTACGACGGTCACCACGGACCTGTCTACGCCCTGCAGAGGAACCCCTTCTTCCCCAAAAACTTCCTCACCGTGGGGGATTGGACGGCTCGCATCTGGTCTGAGGACATCAAGGAGTCTTCCATCATGTGGACCAAGTAGGAAGGATGTGGACTTCACATCAGTACCTCTACATTTAAAAATGGAGATGCCCTTCTGGTCTCTCTGCCGTCTCTTGTCTTCCCGTCTGTCCCATCTCTTCTTGTTTCATCTGGTTTTGTCTCTGCTTGTTTGGTGTCCCGTCCTTTTCATCAGGGTTAATCTTGTTTCTTCATCTGTCTCGTTGAGTTTTATCATGTCCTTTTCTTACCTTGTGTTAAACCGTTTCTTCACTGGTCCTTCCTACCCCAGTCTGTCCCGTGTCTCATCATGTCTCATCCTGACTCGAGCTGCTGTGATCTGTTCTTCTCAGATACCAGATGTCGTATCTGATGGACGCCTGCTGGAGTCCCGTCAGACCCTCCGTCTTCTTCACCGTAAAGATGGACGGCGTGCTGGACGTCTGGGACATCTTGTTCAAACAGAACGACCCCACGCTGAGTCTCAAGGTGCCATCTTTAAATCTGTTTTCAGGAGTCAGCAGGTTTTCAGTTGTAGCCGTCATGAAACACGTCCCCAGTTGATGGTTTTGTTCTCTGTTGTGGTCCTCAGGTGTGTGACGAGGCCCTGTACAGCCTCCGGGTTCAGGATAACGGGCGTTTGGTGGCGTGCGGCTCTCAGCAGGGCGGAGCCACGCTGCTGGAGATCTGTTCCGGACTGTCGACCCTCCAGAAGAACGAGAAGAGCCTCCTGGCCGCTGTGAGGAGCAGACCTGAGCTCTGATTTAGTCTCAGAGAAACCAGAAGTCAAGTTTTTAGATGTTTAGGGGCAGAGAGTTGACAGGAAACACAAGTCCCCACGGTCAGTCATGGTTATCACCTTCAACCTAAAGACCACCTGGCCGCCGCTCACTCCTTCAGATTCAGGTCAAATGTGCTAATGCAATAATAATGTAATGAACATCTTCAACCTGTTTGAACAGCAACTGACCAGAACTGACCAGGCAGCAACTGACCAGAACTGACCAGACAGCAACTGACCAGAACTGACCAGACAGCAACTGACCAGAACTGACCAGACAGCAACTGACCTGACAGCAACTGATCAGAACTGACCAGGCAGCAACTGACCAGAACTGACCAGGCAGCAACTGACCAGAACTGACCAGGCAGCAACTGACCAGAACTGACCAGACAGCAACTGACCTGACAGCAACTGATCAGAACTGACCAGACAGCAACTGACCAGAACTGACCAGACAGCAACTGACCAGGCAGCAACTGACCAGGCAGCAACTGACCAGGCAGCAACTGATCAGAACTGACCAGATAGCAACTGACCAGGCAGCAACTGATCAGAACTGACCAGATAGCAACTGACCAGACAGCAACTGATCAGAACTGACCAGACAGCAACTGACCAGAACTGACCAGACAGCAACTGACCAGGCAGCAACTGACCGGGCAGCAACTGACCAGAACTGACCAGACAGCAACTGACCGGGCAGATTTTTGTACTTTTTCTTATTGAAGTCACAGGTCGAGGCTTCAGTCACTTTATGGCCGGGGGAAATCTACCTGTTAGGGGTTTAGTGGCCCTTTAAAGGAGCTGGGCAGGTTGGACTGGGTGAGTTATAATCAGCCATAACTCTCATGACTAAAATCAATTAATTTTGAGAACCTTTTAGCCTCCACCTTTGTGGTGGAACCAGTTTTTTGGCAAGTGCAAAGCTCCATAGCTTTATGGGCAGGATTGGCCATTTAAATGTTTTGCACCTGCTAATAACGACTGATCAAGCTAGATTTCGACTGGTAGAAAGGTGGACTGGTCGGCACAGAGCAAGCAAAACTAAGGACATTTATTTATAGCCTAACCCAGCCGTGAATCATCATAGACTGCAGTCTGTTTTCCAAATATTAACAAGGATATTAAACCCGATCGGTTTCACGGCCTCATCAATAACCGTCTGTGTGCAGATGTTCGAGCGCGAGACGAAGCGAGAGAAGATCCTGGAGGCCCGGCAGAGAGAGATCCGTCTGAAGGAGAGGAGCCGGTCCGAGCAGAGCAGAGAGGACGACGGGGGACGGGAGGACGGCGAGGACAGTCCTGATCAGCTGATTGCCAGAGCTGAGAAAGACTTCTTCAGCGTGGTGGAGTTGGAGCTGAGGAGGAGGAGCGAGAGGGAGGACCACGTCAACCAGGTCAGAACCCCCCACCTGGAAACAGGGGGAAACAACTAGCTTAGCATAAAGACGAGAAAGAGGAGGAAACGGCTATCTTAGCTTAGCATAAAGACTGGAAAGAGAGGGAAACAGCTAGCTTAGCATAAAGACTGGAAAGAGGAGGAAACGGCTATCTTAGTTTAGCATAAAGACTGGAAACAGGGGGAAACAACTAGCTTAGCATAAAGACGGGGAAACGGCTATCTTAGCTTAGCATAAAGACCGGAAACAGGAGGAAACGGCTATCTTAGGTTAGCATAAAGACCAGAAACAGGGGGAAACGTCTATCTTAGGTTAGCATAAGGACCAGAGACAGGAGGAAACAGCGAGCTTAGCATAAAGACTGGAAAGAGGAGGAAACAGCTAGATTAGCTTAGCATAAAGACCGGAAACAGGAGGAAACGGCTAGCTTAGGTTAGCATAAAGACCATAGACAGGAGGAAACAGCTAGCTTAGCATAAAGACCGGAAACAGGAGGAAGCAGCTAGCTTAGCATAAAGACTGGAAACAGGAGGAAACATCTAGCTTAGCATAAAGACTGGAAACAGGAGGAAACAGCTAGCTTAGCATAAAGACTGGAAACAGGAGGAAACAGCTAGATTAGCTTAGCATAAAGACCGGAAACAGGAGGAAACGGCTAGCTTAGGTTAGCATAAAGACCATAGACAGGAGGAAACATCTAGCTTAGCATAAAGACTGGAAACAGGAGGAAACAGCTAGCTTAGCATAAAGACTGGAAACAGGAGGAAACATCTAGCTTAGCATAAAGACTGGAAACAGGAGGAAACAGCTAGCTTAGCATAAAGACTGGAAACAGGAGGAAACAGCTAGCTTAGCATAAAGACTGGAAACAGGCGGAAACAGCTAGCTTAGCATAAAGACTGGAAACAGGAGGACACAGCTAGCTTAGCATAAAGACTGGAAACAGGAGGACACAGCTAGCTTAGCATAAAGACTGGAAACAGGAGGACACAGCTAGATTCCCTTTGTGTTAAATATTCTAAAAACAAGGTCCACCTACTTCATACCGTCCATATCCTCCAGCCACCCTGAGCCGGTGGAACTCGTTCAGGTGTGTCGTTCACCTGAACGAGTTAATTCTCTATGATTTTAACTTTTCTTGAAGCTAGAGAGTGAACTCGTACGTTTCTGTTTCCTTCTTCATTCTGAAGGTCAGTTTGACTGAATGTTGTTCTTCATCAGGAGAAAGACGTCTGTGAAGAAAAAGAAGTGGAAGACGAAGCAGAAACTTCACCGTGAACATGTTAATATTTATTCTGTACTTGTGTTTGTTCTGTCACACACTCAGTTTTATTAATAAAGAGAGTTTCTGTAAAGCAGAGCGGGAAACTTTATTTCACTATTTTCAACAGAAGCTCCAAACTGATTTACAGGAAGTAAAAAGATGTAACGTTATAAAAGCTTCAGCTTCAGGCCAGAGGTCAGAGGTCAACAGCAGAGTCACTTGATCTACATATTGTAGAATATTCAATAATATTTTAATTAATTATTTTTCTGTGTTGTTTATTAGTCTTTAATTCTCTTTAATAATTAATTTTATAATAAATAAGCCATATATTTATTTACAGACCGGTCGCTTTGGATTAGTTTATCATGCTTTTATTGTGAAGGACTCCGGAAGTCGTCCTGTTGTTGCAGGAAGCAACACGCCGTTAGCCCCGCTAGCTGTTAGCATCAGTCCGCCTGCAGATCCCGGTCCCTCCCGGCTCTCGGTGTGAACATGTCCCGGGTCCAGAAGCTCCGGGTCTTCGTCAGTGAGCGTCTGAACGCGGCGGTCGAGGAGATTTTGGCAGCTTTTGAAAAAACGCTCGTGAAATACGAACAGGAAGCGGCTCTGTGTCAGGAGGTGATCTCCCGCCAGCACGCGCTGCTGTGCGCGCTCCACAAGCCGCTCATGGAGCTGCCGTCCGCAGGTGAGTCTGCTTCAGGTTCAGGTTCAGGTGTTCTCTGTGGAAAAGCCAGAGCAGGTAGCCATTAGATGCATGATGCTGTGAGTTCAGATGATTTTACATACGTCGCTCCCGTCGTATGTGTGACGTTTCTCTCTGTACAGCCTGAAAACTAAACACTGAGGATGAGAAAGAATGAATCTGAAGCTCCAGGTGACGTCGCTCAAACGTCTCGTTTGGTCCAGTAGATTATCTGACGAGCTCACTGAACTCAAAACACAAAAACTACCGGGTGTTAAAAATGTTTTGTTTCCTGCAGACGCCTTCACGCAGCAGCTGTCGGTGAGAAACGATCCGCCTGAGCACCAGGACCAGAACCAGGAGGACCCAGAGCCCCCGCATATTAAAGAGGAACAGGAGCGAGAGCAGCTTCAAGACCTGGACGTGGCCGACATCATCCAGTTCACCTATAAACCCAGGTGTGCGGCGAGGCCACGTGAGGACGTGGACCTGTCAGCCGCCGGGACAGTCCGGGCAGAACCAGGAGCAGCGGGACCACATCAGGACGTCCACCTGGTGTCTTCTGAGACCGAAGACAGCGACGACTACAGCAAAGACCCGGCTGGCCCCAAACCAAAGAGGAGCTGTAGACCAGGACCGCCGCTGAGCTGCAGAACCTGCAGAACCTGCAGCCGGACCTTTAAAGCCCGGAGGTTTTTAATCCGGCACCTTAAAGCCCACCTGCGGGAGGCGGAGCCGGCCTGCGGTCTGTGCGGCGAGCGATTCGACGCCGCAGAGAGTCTGAAGCTTCACATTCAGACTCACCGCACCTCTCAGAGGAGGGAGTTGGAGAACCAGACCAGGACCCGGAGCAGAGAGAGGCGGGTCCATCAAGGCTCACAGCCCGCCACAAACGCCAGGGAGAGAGCGCACGCCTGTGACGACTGCGGGAAGACGTTTCTACAGGTGTGGAAGAAGAAGAGGCACCGGTGCCCCCTCGGGAAGAGGAACCCGGAGAGCCTGAAGGGAACCACGAAGAAGTCTTAGCGGGTCGCTCCGGTCCTCCGTCCTGCTTTATAGTTTATAGGCCCTCTGGTTCTGACCCGTCAGCAGCTTTTTATTTGTTTCTGTCCGGACCTGAAACTCAGATTTTGGGAAGCGAATTTACTTTAACGAGGAAACAAGTTGAAATATCTCCAGACACTCCAGCTTCCTTCTTGGTACGTGTGCGCAGAGCTGGACCCTGATTGGCTGTTGGTCCGTGGCGACGTCCGGAGGTCGAGCCTGTTCTCCGCTCAGACTCTGCCGCGTTTCCTGTTCAGTTTGATTTAGTGAACGAGGCTTTCGTTGTCCTGCAGAGACGGAGGCGGCGTGTGATTGGCTGCTCTCTCCTCAGGTTAGTTAACTGTGAAAGCTGAAGCTGCTGTTCTAAGTTCTAATAAAGACATTTTCTTTACACAAAGTGTTTATTGATTTTTTTTCCCCCCACAAATAATCAAGAAACAAATCAAAGCAGATCTGATGCAGAAAAGGAGAAGAAATCCACAGACAGACACAAACCTGAGCTTACAGTCCGGGTGTTCGTCCTGTAAGTAAACTCTGAACCACATAAAGAGGAGAGAATTGAAACGGCGCCTCACATGGCAGAAGGATGAAAGTGTCTGAAATGAATCCAGATATCCCCTCTGAGTATTCCAGGCTTAAAGTCTTTCTGAAGAAACAAACAGCCGTTTGATTGGTTGAAGTGCGCAATAAAAACATCATTTAAGATCATTTGCAGCCACAAAAAGATCCAGATTCAGGATCAGAAACACAAACAGAGATTCTGTTTCTGCAGAAGAGCCTCAGATATGTTTAATCAGGAATCAGATTAATCAATACTTTATTTATTCTCCTAAACAAGGTGAACAGGAGACAAATGACATTTAAACTGATGCCGTTTCCAGCGAGAGCTTCATGTTCTCACATGTTCTTCTGGATCCAGACGCTGAGCGCCGGCGTGTGGACGTGACGCGCTGCTGCTAAAAACACCTTATGGAAATAAACCACGTCCTGTTTCTTTAACTCGTCAGCACCTCGTTCAGTTTGTGTGAATAAATGTTTAAACTCTACTCAGGGGGAGGCCCCTTCCTGCAGGTCGGTTATAAAGGGGCGGAGCTCCGGGCACAAGCGTTGGTGAAAGTGTGTTTTTTACCCACCAAACAGCTTCAGGAAAAGGAACGTCAGTGTCCCTGAGTTAGATTCAGAGTCTGCCTCCTTTTCTTCCTGCAGTCAGGACGGATTAATATTAACGAGCTTCACTGAGCGTTTACAGGCAGCTGTGGGCGTTTGGACATTAACATTTATTCATTTTCATTTTTATCCAAAGCGACTTATAATTGCGGTCGCACGCCTCTGGAGCAACGAGGGGTTAAGTGTCTCACTCAGGGACACAATGGTGGATGTCTCACAGTGGGAACTGAACCCAGGTCTCCCACACCAAAGACAGGCGTCTTATCTATGCACCATCACCACCACAGAGGGCCGGACATGGAATCACATGTCAAACTGATGTGATTTATAAAGGGAACTCTGCGCAGGACGTGTTTTACAAATCATAATATTTTTGTGCGTACGCAGCCTTTAGGACTCCTGCGTACTTTTATTAAAGAGTCCACTGGTCAGACTGCAGTTCCCTGAGCCGCCACAGGAGGCCGCTGCGTTCTGTAAAACTACCAGGGTTCGCTTTAACGTACCTGAAAGGTCTACAGGTGTTCCCAGGAACCATGGAACAGGTTTATATCACAGAGGCGGACCCCAGAACACAGCAGAGACCGGTACCTGCTGAGTCCAGGACCTCGCTTCCAGTAAACATTGGTTCTGGTTCCACCTTTCAGTTCTTAAAATAACTGGACAGACTGACAACAGAACCCTTGGGTGTGTTTGGGAACGGCCCCTCCAGCAAACAGAACTTGGGACTGAAAGGGGTTTCTGAACCAAACAAAGACCTGGATCCAAAGTGAGGAAGAGATAAACAGTGTCTTTAATTTAATCCACAGACGTAGTTAAATCATTTTGTAATTTTTCCTAGAATCTAACTTTCTTTAATCTGGATCCAGATGAGTCTGGACTCACCTGTGGACCCCCTTTTAACTTTTCTACCATCTACAGGATTTATTCTGATTAATAATTTTGATCAGGTCATAAAATAAAGAATCTAAAGCTTCATCAAACGTCTCCTGAAACTCCTGCGAGTTCCTCCTTTCAGCTTCTGTTCAGGTCGATCTGAAGAAACTCGACCAGCTCAAAGAAGAAACAGACAGAAAAGACAAGTTCATTCTGTTTAATTTCAGCTGTCAGGGGAACAAGTTTCTCCCGCTTCATAAAAACTCTGTAAAAAAGTCTGTAAAGGTCCAGCAGGAAACCAGGGGGGACGGTTTCTGGTTCTTTGGTCCTGCTGGACCTTCACAGACTCGGTTTGCTGTTCCTGCTCGTCACTGCAGCTGTACTGAGGGAGGGGGGTGATAGGCGGGGCTCCAGACATAGGAGGGGAGGGGGGGAGGGGGGAGGAGGACGCCGTCCTTCTGGCCCGCCCTCCGGCGATGTCGAGCTCCTCTGCGATGGCGGTTACCACGTGGTCGTTTATCCCCCACTGGTTGAGTCTCCTCTGCCGGGTCATCATCTGCTGGGCGTCTCTCTTCTCCAGCAGCGCTAGTGGCCGGCGGCTCCACGGCGAGTCCCCTGGCCGGCGGCTCCACAGCGAGTCCCCTGGCCGGCGGCGCCTGCCGCTCCACGGCGAGTCCCCTGGCCGGCGGCTCCACTCCGAGTCCCCTGGCCGGCGGCGCCTGCCGCTCCACCGCAAGTCCCCTGGCCGGCCGCTCCACAGCGAGTCCCCTGGCCGGCCGCTCCACAGCGAGTCCCCTGGCCGGCCGCTCCACAGCGAGTCCCCTGGCCGGCACCTCCTCTGGCTTGTCGATGCCGTTGTTGCTCCTCTTGGCGCCTCGCTGCAGGTCGTCCAGGTAGTTCTGCCTCTCGATGCGGTGACCTCTGCAGGAGTTAAACATCTCCAGCGCTGCCGCAGGATCCAGCCCGTCCACGTCTATGAGGTACCTGCAGACCAGATACCCGGTGCGGTTCAGGCCGTGGGTGCAGTGGACTCCGATGAGCTTGTCGTTGTCTCGGTTCTCCCTTAGGAAGCATCTCACCGCCCGTTTAAAGCTCAGGATGGCGGCACCGGAGGGAACGCGGCGACCCTCAGTGAGGATCTTGATGTAAGAGCAGGACTGCGGGACGTCGGCCAGACTGTAGTACCTCGTGGTGAAGGTGAGGTCGATGATCAGACCCAGCTCCTGGTTCTGACTCTCCACAGAGTCCAGCAGGTCCCAGAGACCGAAGGAGTCGGACTCTGAGACCTGACGGTTCAGAGACGGTTTTAAAGGCACTTTGAAGGCGATGAATCGAGTCCCCGGTATCCTCTGTCCCACAGGACGGTAGTCCAGCCAGCGGTCCGGTACCCCGTTCTTCTTCTTGTTATAATGAGGCATCTCAGCCGTCCTCTGATGTTTCTGCTCCCAGCTAAAACAGCACAGAGACATCTGTGAACGGATCTCAGTCACACCAAACTCCAGTCAAAAATCAAACATTTTAAGGACACCTCGCTGTTTTGTAAGTAGATCTGTCCCCGTTAGAACTTTTATCAAACTACTACAAATAACTACCAGCTAGTATTTATCTGAGTAACTGTCCCGTTTATCCTTCAGCAGAGTACAGGCTCTCTTTAAACTATCACCTTATCAATTCCACTGATACAAGTAAAATGTGATGTAAATTAATTTACTACATGTACTGCAGTACTGTTCTGAGGTACTTCTACTTCACTGCCTCGTCCTGCTGCTGGAGTTGCTGTTTACTTTGCAGATTATTTTATTTTAAATACAAAACATGAATTCACATTATTAATTATTAAAATATAAACACACATAGGCGTCATATAAGCAGGGGACGCAGGGGACGCAGGGGACGCTGGGTCACAGGGGACGCTGGGGACACAGGGGACGCTGGGTCGCAGGGGACGCTGGGTCACAGGGGACGCTGGGGACACAGGGGACGCTGGGTCGCAGGGGACGCAGGGGTCGCAGGGGACACTGGGTCGCAGGGGAAGCAGGGGTCGCTGGGGACGCTGGGTCGCAGGGGACGCTGGGGTCGCTGGGTCGCAGGGGACGCTGGGGACACAGGGGACGCTGGGTCGCAGGGGACGCAGGGGTCGCAGGGGACGCAGGGGTCGCAGGGGACGCTGGGTCACAGGGGACGCTGGGGTCGCTGGGTCGCAGGGGACGCTGGGGACACAGGGGACGCTGGGTCGCAGGGGACGCAGGGGTCGCAGGGGACGCAGGGGTCGCAGGGGACGCTGGGTCACAGGGGACGCTGGGGACACAGGGGACGCTGGGGACACAGGGGACGCAGGGGACGCTGGGTCGCAGGGGACGCTGGGTCACAGGGGACGCTGGGGACACAGGGGACGCTGGGTCGCAGGGGACGCAGGGGTCGCAGGGGACACTGGGTCGCAGGGGACGCAGGGGTCGCTGGGGACGCTGGGTCGCAGGGGACGCTGGGTCGCAGGGGACGCTGGGGACACAGGGGACGCTGGGTCGCAGGGGTCGCAGGGGACGCAGGGGTCGCAGGGGACGCTGGAGACACAGGGGACGCTGGGTCACAGGGGACGCTGGGTCACAGGGGACGCTGGGGACACAGGGGACGCAGGGGACGCTGGGGACGCAGGGGACGCAGGGGACGCTGGGGACGCTGGGTCGCAGGGGACGCTGGGGACGCTGGGTCGCAGGGGACGCTGTGTCGCAGGGGACGCTGGGTCGCAGGGGACGCTGTGTCGCAGGGGACGCTGGGTCGCAGGGGACGCAGGGGACGCTGTGTCGCAGGGGACGCTGGGTCGCAGGGGACGCTGGGTCGCAGGGGACGCAGGGGACGTGTCCCCACCACTTTTTTGAAGCATAATTTGTTACAAAACTTTCTTAAATATAGCTTGCAGTTAAATAACAAATGAAACTTTAGACCCAACAACGTGCAGCACCGATCAGAAACGTCACCAACTTCTTGACACGGTTTCTTTTTGGCCATGACGAAAGAGGAGCGAAGACTAAAAGTTCATCTGCAGGAGAAACAGACCTGAGAGCTGCTCTCACTGACATTAGATTAGATTCACCTTTGTGTTTCCGTTTACATAAATAAAAACATTTCCACCATAAACTGCTGCCCCCCCCCCCCCCCCTTAAAGCAATTGTAAGATCTTTTCGTCTCGTGAACCTGATATTGTGTATTGTGATGTCTCGCGAGCTGAGTGTCTGTCCCCACCGCCAAGTGACGCCATGTAAACACACAGTATGCAAAGTAGTAAAACTTCTCGTTTCTGTTGAAACGCTGCTATATTAATTAAACAGTCTGGAAGGCAAAACTGCAATAAGAACTTTAACTTTATTTTACTTCTTCCTGCACCGACAGGCAGATTTCAGTCCGGGATCTGCAGGATCACATGTCGCCTCGTATCTGAAGCAGCAGATAACTTCTAAACACTGAACCGCGTTACTTTTACGAGCTTTGCTTAAACGCCGGACTCACCGCAGCGCTTCCGCAGATGTTTACACGGAGTTTGGTGTTGACTTCGCACCTGGTGACGCTGTGACGCGCCTGCAGCTGCGTTTTCACGGCGGACAAACAAACAAACACGTTAAAAACTTCCCGAAAACAAACTCAAACCCCGCCAGTTACTCCACAAACCGTTTTAACGGGCGGTTAGCAGTTAGCATGCTAACGAGCCCGGAGACGCGTTCGCTGCTGATGACGTATCATCGCAGCGTAGGCAACGTCATTACGCAAAGACGCTGCAGCTTCGGGGATCCCGGAAGCGTCCTCGCTTTGTTTACGTTCTGCTCTTTGTTCGGTGGGAGTTCCGCCAAAATGTCCAAAAGACGGTCCAAAAGCAGCGAGAGCCGGAACCTGCGGGCCGCCGTGGAGCAGCAGCTGGCGGCGGCCGCGGAGGAGATCTTCTGCCTGCTGAAGGAGCGCCGGGAGGCGGCCGTGGAGGAGCTGAGAGACCTGGTCACGGAGCGGGTCACCGCGGCCGTGGACCGCATCCTCACCGTGTTCCAAGCGACCAGGGCGGCCGAGAGAGGACCGGAGGAGTCCGGTGAGAGTCACACAGAGGCGGCTTCTCCAGGGGCCGTTTTTCTGGTGTTTACTGTGAGGAGCAGTTCAAACTTTCTGTCAGCTGCAGGTCGAACATGTGATCAGCAGCCACGTCTCCCTTTATTATCTCTGAAGTCCTTCAGAAATGTTTCAGTCCGTTTATAATTATTCTAAAGATATTTAACAGTTTATCCAAACTCATCAGAGAGACATGAAGCTCAAAGTCTCCACGTCCCTGATGTGTTCTGGTGTCTTTAAAACTTTGGATGTGTTTCCTCACTGAGTTAAATCCAGTCTGATGAAGAGTTTCTGCCTCAGCATGGAGCAAAGAAACTATAACGTTTAAACCGTTTTCTCACACCTGATAACCTCAGAGCTTTTTGATGCTGTGGTCTTTCATAATTTAGTTTAAATACGGGGTTTCAGAACCGTCCCTGGTAAACAGTTCTGTAGATTCATGCTGCTTATTGAGATGCGCTACTTAGTGGTTCTGCAGAAGCGTGGTCTGTTTCCACGCCCATAAATCTGTGCAGCCTTGCTGTTGGGCACGTCGAGGCAGTGGCTGATCAACATCAGAAAGAAAGTCATTATTAGTCTCTCAGAATACGCTGCCTCTGAAATAATGTTATAATCAAAAAGAACAGCGGCTGTGCGGAGGCAGAGGAAACCGGATCAACGGTGCTGACTTGGTAAAGCGCTCTGGGATGGTATCGTGGCCGTTTCACAAAGTCCAAGGCCGCTGTTCTGCAAGAAGCCTGACGCGTGTCCATTTACGTCTCCAGGATTCCCCGATGTACATAAAAACCAAGAAGAGACGAGGTTTGAGTGAACCTTTTAATCCAGACTCCACTGAAGGCCCGGCACAGTCCACCAAAACTTACTCAAACCTATTTTGCAAAACACAGTCAAAAAACTTGTTTTCGATCCATGACTCTTGCCGATCTCTCGTAACCTCCCACATGTTCCATTTCTTTGTACTGCCCATGCGAATTTACTCAGTCACCCAATCAACACCTCTGCATGAGCCATGAACATTTAGCATGTGTTCACAGTTTAGCAATTTAGCTCTTACAGATGGAGCAGTTTCCAGAGACCACGTTACTGAGCATCTGCAGGCTGTTGTGGGGAAATCCCTGCTCGCCGGCTGCAGCGACGCGTTGACGCATGTTATGAAAATCAGTGTATTTGCTCCAGTAGCAGAGTTGTTAGATGAAGTACTTCCTGCGTGTAGACTCGGGCGTGACCATTCATTGAAAAGTAATTGAAACCGAAATTCAGAGCCTCTGACCGACGTAGTATCCTCATGTCGGTTAACTCGGTTATTTAATCCTGGTAGTACTGAGTGTGTTCATGCTACTTTCCCCTTGAAACACATGTGTGGTCACGTGACTCCGCCCCATCCAGCCCGCTCAGCTCAGGGAGATGTTAGCCAGCGCTAACCGCCTTCACTTTCCAGCAGTTGTGGAAACAACAGACAGACTTTATTAACGGACACACTGTGACCTACTCTGCACATTTACTGATGACTGACAACTTATTACTCGCTCGCTTTCAGTGTCACTTCCTGCCGCTCGCTCTCTGTCATTCGCTCGTCCACTCACTCGCTACGCACACACACACTGCACCTCAGTTCAAAGACCTGCGCTGCTCTCATGACGGCAGCTGTCACGTAGATGTGCTTTGATCAAAGAGGAGAGGAAGCTGGCAAAGCGTGATTTAGCGAGCTCACACAGAGTGGGGGGGGAACCGTGTCTGAAATGTGCACGTAAATATTACCTTATTAATTAACATTTAGATAATGGATCTGAGAGTAAACAAATCCAGCTTCAATAGTTACAGTAAACCTTGTCAGCGAATTATGAGGGAAAAAAAACAACAACTACAAATAACAACATTCAAAAGCAAAACAATCGTTTAATAATCGAGGTGAAAAGTTCAAGTAATCGTGATTTTGATTTTAGGTGAAATCGTCCAGCCCCAGACTGGATACGTGTAATGCAGGAAGAATACATGAATATAAATATAGTTTATAGCAGCATGAAGGACCTCGAAGCTTCACCTGAGCCTGCTGGACCAGAAACTACCTCCTGACTGAATGCAGGACCTCGATGTGGTCTGGTCCAGAGCTCTTTAAGACTGACAGTATTGCAGTAGTGATGTGAACATCACAATCGGAGGCTCACTTTGCGAGTCACACCGTCGGCTCCGGTCTTCACCGGAATGAGACGATCACAGTGAAACGACATATTTTACTGTTCTCCCTCTCTCCTGTCACTGTCAGAACTTCTTGGCCATTCATTCTTCTTCTGCTGCTGTTCTGCTTCTGTTAAACTCATATCTGTAGCTCATGGAATGACAGCCTGCTTCTCAACAGACGTCTAAACCATCAGCGTAACATGTAGCAGGTGGAAACGTGAAGCCGTTAGAGAGCTTACACCTTTAACGGAAACAACGAGCTCCAAAGTCTGATAGATTTACCGGTGTGACCTTCCTGGTACAAGAGAGGAAAGGAATAAAAGTGCTGACTGCCGTCACCTTTGAAGCGCTCGTTAAGCCCGAATGCGTCCGTTCCTTGATTACCTAACGTCCTTTAGTCTTTAAGGGTCCACCGATCAAAAGAATCAAAACAGCTTTTCATAAAATGAATCCAAGTTGTGAATCCTGTCGTGTGAAGTCCGTCGCTCTTTGTCTGCTAACTTCGCTCATCCTGCAGCCTGCTGTTGGCATGAAGTTACTTTAAAATAGAAGCGCATAAGCCGTCTGTCGGCGCTGGATCAAAGGAATGACGTTTATTTGATATTATTGGATAATTTTTATAAAAGTAATATTCTTTTATTTCTTTTTTCGTTTTGTGCAAAAGGAATTAAAGGCCGGTCCCAAATATAGGCCGGGTCAATTCAGTGGTTTTAGCAAATTAAAGCTCGGGCTATTATTCAGAGTTTTACGATAAATTCATACATTTGTGCCCACTTTAGTTATTTCTTTACAAATGTTCAATTCAATTCAATTCAATTTTATTTATATAGCGCCAAATCACAACAACAGTTATCTCACAGCGCTTTTCATAAAAGAGCAGGTCTAGACCGTACTCTGTGATGATATTTACAGAAGCCCAACAGTTCCCACCAAGAGCAGCACTAGGAGACAGAGGCAAGGAAAAACTTCCTTTGTTGGATGTTGGATGAAAGCATATGGTCTATTGGTACTGGTCATAATGAGTCGCGATTGTTGTCTGCAGGTCTGTTCCTTTTGTCGGGGTAAGGACGGCCACAGTGACGCACAGCCGATATCAGCTTTGGGAACCAGACAGAGGCTAAAACATTTTAAAACTACAAATCCCATAATGCATTTCGTCCCCCCCACTGGTAGTTCAGCGGATCACGATGCATTTCATCACAGCCACGTGTCGCATCCGGTCTTAAATGGTTAAAACGGTATCTCTACCTGATGTTCTCTGATGGATTCTTAGATGCGTCACGATGCAGACGTGAAGGATTCTGTCAGAAAGCGATTCACTAAATGTTCACTGATAACGAAATGTTGGTGGAATGAAAAAGGCGGAACCGCAGCTCCAGACAGTCTGTGGCGTGCACATATCAGAGACGTGACCCCCTGTACTCTGAATGTTTCTCACCATCATTAAAACCAATGTGTGCAGTTAATGAATGATTTTCACCTGCACACTGTGCAGCACGGCGACACTTAACGCTCGGCGGGCTTCAGAGGTTATCTCTGTGAAGGCTGAGCAGAACGCTAACGGCACGTTTTTTGGCTGCTGTTTAACGTTTACAGGAAGTACCTGTAATTATCCACGTGTCATTACTGCCTACTTTGTTGGATCTTACAAATACTTTGCTGTAAAAGTGGTTAGAGAAATCGAATGGCGAGGTGTCTACTGCTGTGGTTCTCAAACGGTTTCACGTCAAGGACCCCTAAACTGACACAGATTAGACCACGGACCCCCATTTGAGAATCCCTCTCTGACTGATGTAGCAGGTCATCACGTGTCTCACCGGCTGCGTCTGGTCGAGTCTCTTCAGGTCCGACACAGATGTGGCTTATGGGCAGATCTCTTTATCTAAGAAAGAACCTGCTTCACCTTCTCAGTCCGACTCTCAGAGGGTTTCACTGTCTAAAGACTCACGTTGTGTTTCTCTCTGTCTCTCAGTCCAGAGTCTCTCTGATGGGAAACACCTGCAGCAGAACATCTCTGACGACCGACCAGGTCTGAAGGAACCTCAGCCCGGCACTTCCTCCAGACCAGAGGACGTTTCAGAACCCGACCACCGGCCGGCCTCTCCGGACGACCCGGACGGTGACGAGGAAGATGACGATAACGACCAAGAGGCGGCGCCTCACTGCTGCAGAGTGTGCGGGAAGTCCTTCGACAGGAAAGGCTTTTTGATGAAACACGTGGAGAAACACTTGAAGGAGGCGGAGTCTCTGTGCGGGCTGTGCGGCGAGCGTTTACAATCCAGTGACGGTCTGAGGCTGCACCTTCAAACGCACCGTGACAGCAGCCGGACCTGCGACGTCTGCGGCAAGAAGTTCCCCTCCATCCGAGCTCAGGAGACGCACCTGAGGCTGCACACCGGAGAGAAACCGTTCAGCTGCCACTTCTGCGGCAAAGGCTTCAACCAGAAGGGCAACATGGTGACGCACATGAGGATCCACACGGCGGAGAAGCCGTTCAGGTGCAGCGTCTGCCACAAAGAGTTCAGCCACGCCGGCTCTCTGGAGCGACACATGAAGAACCACAACGGACAGACGCCCTTCAGCTGCAAAGTCTGCGGCAAAGGCTTCAGCAAGAGCGCCGAGCTGAGGCGACACGTCCGGAGCCACGAGTCCGACAGCACGCCTCAGACCAGGGGCAGACGCAGGAAACCGAGTCTGACTCCTTCTCACTGCTGCAAGGTCTGCGGCAACGCCTTCCACAACAAAGGGAACTTTGTGCGGCACGCAGAGACTCATTTAAACGCTCCCGACTGTCGCTGTGGCGTCTGCGGTGAGCAGTCCGAGACCTCGGAGAGTCTGCAGCTTCACATCCAGAGCCACAGAGAAACCAGCAGGATCTGCGACATCTGCGGCATCAGCTTCAGGGACATGGAGATCCACATGAGGACGCACACCGGCCAGAAACCCTTCAGGTGCAAAGACTGCAACAAGGACTTCCCCAGGAAAGGTTCCCTGGAGAGACACATGAAGCTGCACGCCGGCGAGAGGCCCTACATCTGCGAGTTCTGTGGGAAGACTTTCATCGAAAACACGGTTCTGAAGAGACACATCAAGAGCCACACGGGAGGGAAGCCGAGGATCTACTCCTGCGACGTCTGCGGCAAAAAGTTCACCATGAGCCAGCACCTGGACGTGCACAAGAGGATCCACACCGGGGAGAAACCGTACACCTGCAGGGTCTGCGGGAAGAACTTCCGGCAGATCGGCAACCTGGACTCCCACATGAGGATCCACACGGGCGAGAAGCCGTTCATCTGCAGCCTCTGTGGGAAGAGGTTCCGCCAGAAGATCTCGCTGGAGACGCACGAGAGATTCCACAAGAAGGAGAAGCAGTTCAGCTGCCAGCTCTGCAGCAAAGGCTTCGTCCAGAAGATCGACCTGAAGAGACACATGCTGACGCACACCGGGGAAAAACCGTACAGCTGCCTGGTCTGCGGGAAGAGGTACCAGGAGAAACGCTCGGTGGACTCGCACATGAAGGTTCACACCGTAGAACGGGCCGCCAAAGATTCAGCTGTGACCCCGAACATGAAACGACAGGAAGGAGTTCAAGCAGACTTCATCCAGCTGTGACCTGCAGAGGAACACCTGAACTGGGACTCTTTGACTAATCTGGTCCCGGGGACCAGCTGAGTTCCCCTGAAGGAACTGGCTCTGGGGGAAGGGATCAGGCGCTGAACTTCTCCAACTGGTCAAACACAAAGCTCAGACAGAAGCTCTGAGGTTGGCTGCATCTCTGATGGATTTTAGATTTCTAACTTCACTTCCTGTGGTCAGATTCTGCTGCCTGACCATGTGACGGCGTTCAGATACAAACAGATCAGCTGGCAGACGGCCGGCCAGATCTTCACCGCGGTCGGTGAGAAGACTTGAAATCCACAGGTGATGCAGCGGAGAGAGAACAGCGGCAGTGACGTCACTTCCTGTCGTACAGCAGTAACGTTAGTGTAAAAGTCTGACGGACAGCGTGGCGAACATGTCTGAAAGGGCTCCTGATCCTGGTTCATGTGGTCTAACAGGACCCCTCCTGTGTTGGGAACTGGTTCACGTGTTTGGTTTGAGTCGACCTGCTGTGTGAATCAGAACCAACGTGTGAAGAAGCCTCATGTTTCATTTAAAGAGCACAGAGACACATTTTACTGTTTTTGGTTTTCAGAGTTTCCCGCTCTGCTGCTTCCTCTTCTAAGACTCTGAGGGACCTGAAGAGACTGATTCCTGCTGGGTGCAGGATTTCAGCTGCTCAACATGTCGGGGTCTGATTTTATTATATTACTGGTCACTAAATCCAAAATGGCCGCCGTATAATTAATCCGTTTGAACAGCTGATCAGGGTCGTTGTGCTGTTTTTAATTAAATATGAGTTTCCATGTTTTCACATCCTCACAGTTTCTTTCGGTTTGCTTTTACACAGCGTGCCGACTTTCTTTAATCGGGGTTGTGATGATCAGCAGCGAGTGAAATGATCAGTTAATTAATGCAGAAATCAATCACCTGCACATGTTGTTATTGATGTAATGAAGCAGGATCAGAGGCGTCCGCTGCAGCTCAGGTAGTTTCACTTTTCAGATCTGAACAATAAAGAATGTGTTTTTAAAGTGGAACCAGCTTCCTGTTTCCTGTAAAAACAAACCGACAATAAAGCGTTTCAGAGTCAGTTTGAACTCCTGCTGTCGTTACTTCAAATGATCCGACGGGCTGTGCTGATTATTACCTCGATCAGTCGGGTAAGAAAAACCCAACCACCTGTTTTTACGCCTTCAGAAACTGGATCCGTCTGAAGGACGTTTAAAGAGTCACCTTTAAAGTCCTTTAAAAGGCGGGTTCACACCTGACGGAACCAGAACCAGACGGTCCAGAAGCGTTCAACAAAAGCCAGGTGGAGTTAACAGCGTTTGATTGTTGGCGAGGGCGGATATATGAAGTCCTGTCGCTGAAGACGATTCAGACACCTGAGGGTCCGAAGGAGGCGGACTGAACCGCTGTGAAAAACTCATTGGACCATAAGTATTTTCATTATCGATTAGTTGTTTGTTCTGTAATACAAACGTCTTGTTTTGTCCCAAAGATCTTCAGAGGATCAAAGAAACCAGAAAACATTCACATTTAAGAAGCTGGAATCAGAATGTGGATGTTTTTTTCTTTAAAAAGGCTCAAACCAATAATCAGTTACCAGAACAGTTGAATTAACAACTAATCGACTAATCGTTGCAGCTCTGTTGGACTCGTAGAGAACGAGGCCTGTTAACGCTTTGTGTCAGCAGAGATTCCTTCTGATCAGTGATTGATTGGGACGCGTCTCTGGATTATTGGTCAAACAGTCTGCAGGTAAATTTAAATAGAAACGTCCAAACGTTGCTGCTTCACCCGTCACCAGACCAGGAACCGATTTAACCAATGAAATGACACACACAGCGGTAGCTTCCTGTTGTTGGTTCAGTCGGTGTTCTCACCTGAAACCAAATCTGCCCTCCTACATGTTCTGTCAGTAATAAGATACATACGCTGACGATGATGTGCTCTTGTACAGTGAGGATAATGCTCCGTGTGCATCGGTTATTTTTGGCCAATGTGTTGCAGCCTTCAGCAACATCGTTAATTCATTTGACTTCAGTCACAGATGCTTGATGAACTCTTCAGTGGCAAGAAAAAGCTGCCAAATGAGGCTGGGAGGAAGTTTAACCGTAGCTGTGGGTTAAACGTTGTTTTTGATGGTAATTAAAGGGAATCGTGTCGTACAGGCAGGTGGTGAGGGGCCGGGCTCTGTGGTGGACGAGGCTGGTGTTTGAAGACATTAAGCTGTTCAATTACAACAGGCTTACCTAACATTTTACATGGAAGTGTTCAAAGCTGTTGGGGACGGCCAGCTATTTTCTCCTCTTTCCAGGAAAAACGTTAAAATAACAAACCCAAAATGAAACAGGAAGAACTCCTCAACCTTCTAGCCTAGATGCAGAATTCTGGTTTCCTTTGAAAGCTTTTTTAAATTAACATATTTATTTTACCATTACAGACTAAATGGAGATGCAATAAAGAAACATGATATTTTCATCCTGGCCTGGTAAAAAAAAGCTATATTTTAATGCAATCAATCATCAGACCATCAGCAGATATATATATATATAATATATTTTAATACACCTGGAAGGCAACTGTAGCTGTAAATTTGATGAAAAGAAACTAAAATACAGTTTTCAATAACAATATTTTCAAAATACACCAGGCGACCGTCCATATTTACTGTTTACATGTTGTCTTATCTTTAAAACACTATTTCTGTCCAAACAACCACGTTCCAAATAACATAAAGCTGAAATATTGATAAAAACATTCCTGGCTGTGTTTTTGGTCACAGGAATGTTGATGAATATTCATGAATATTCAGGCCTGTAGCTTGATGGAAGGGGGGGGTGCATGTAGCTCCTACTGGTCGACCACCAGACTGCGAAAAAGAGCGGTTAAGAGGTTGAACACGTGACCCGGTGAGAGTTCGGCTGCTGTTCTCCCTCCGGTCCAGCAGGGTTCGCTGTTCGCTTCCCTCAGCGAAGCGTCGTCGACGCGGAACTCCGCTCCGTGTTTACGTCCCCGCTCTTTGTCCGCAGAAAGCAGTAAAATGTGCGCCGTGCAGCTGCTGCGGGTGTCGGTCCACGAGCGGATCAGCGCCGCCGCTGAAGACGTTCTGCTGCGGGTGGAAACGGGAGAAGAACCGGCGGAAGTCCCGGCGCTGAGAGCGCTGCTCACCGAGCGGCTCGCGGCGGCCGCGGAGGAGATCGTCGGTGTGTTCGAGGAAACCGTGGCGGAGTACGAAGCCAGAGCTGAGCGGGCAGAGCGGGAGGTCTGCCGCCAGAGGAGGCTGCTGGAGGCCGTGCTGAAGCCCGAAGTCCGGCTGCACAGAGCAGGTCAGTCCCGGAGGAAACCCCGGACATGCTAACGCTAGCTGCCAGCTTCCCCCCCAACATCCAGGTTTCCACTAAAACACGGAACTTTTTCTGAGGTTTTCTGACTCAGTCTGAGAGAAAGTGATAAAAACTACAAGTTCTGGCTTTGAACTGTGAAAACATCTTAATTTAAACTGAAATAAAACAACAAATACTTTGTTAGCGGGTAGAAACCACAACTCCCATGAGCCTTAGAGCCTCAGCAGCGCCAGCAAAGCCTTCTGGGAGCTGTAGTTTTATCCTGCGCTCTAATAACCTGAATGATCACACGGTGTAATGTTTCATTAACTCTGTGAGACCTGGAGGAAAATGTAATAAAACATTCAAACGGAAATTATAATTAAATGTCTGGAAACAGACAAATAAAACAAAATAAAATGTTTAATAATTAATTGATGTGTGACAGTTACTGACATGAAATGAGTCTATTTGATAAAGTCAGACTACAGAGTCCTGCGTTAAATATTATAATTAATATTAACTCTGATCCATAAAGTCTGAGTAAACGATAATGACCCCTCCAACACAGAGAACTCTTACAAACAGGGTTCCTACATTCATGAGAACCCTGGAAAAGTCATGTGAAATATAACAGTAACATTTTCCAGGCCTGGAGGTTTTAAACATCACCTTCAGTTTCTTAAATCACGCAAAATATAAATCAATCATAAGAGTGTAAATCCTGCAGACAGAGCTCAGGGTACAGACATAATACCTGCAGACAGAGTTCAGGGCTGCAGACAGTTAAGCGGAACTCAGCCTCTCAGGTTTGATCCATCAGATAATCATGAGAAAACAGTTTTTCTTAAAGAAATAAATAACGTACTGAGTTTGTTTTGGATGATATTTGGTCCTGCTGCTGTCGTGATGTTTCGCTGATCATCAGGACAGTGACCTGGACAGGATTTAGCCGCCCTGACAGTTTTCCTCCTAACGGCAGGAAACCCATTAATTAACCTCAGACTCATTAGAGGTGAAAAGTTTGGACATTTATCTGTAGAAATAAAACCAGGCAACACGAGAGCCGCCTTGAAACGTCTCCTCGTCGGATGAAGTTTCCTTTCCTAACCTCGGCTGCTCCTTCCTGTCTGTGAAAGAACCTCTCAGGATGCTCAGGAGGACGCTTCTTACTTTCTCTAAACTGAACTAATGTTGAGGAACTTCCAGTCTGAAGCGCAGATGTTTGGTAACCTGCTTCACTTCTGTGGCTTTATTAGCCGACACACCGACTCCACAGGTCACTGGAACAGTTACTTCGCTAATCGTATCAACAAAACAATGATTCATTCAAACAACAAAGAACTGATTCAGTTTCTTCTAATAACATTTTAAAGATTTTAATTTACATTTTCTGATGAGATTTTTACTCAGAACTCAGAAGTAGTGTAAGCATCAGTCATATAACTAATTACTCTCAAATGAAGTAACTAGTGATCTATAACGGATTACATTTTGGAAGTAACTTGACCAACACTGCTCGTCATGATACAGAAAATACAAGACAAGCTGAAAATATCTACATTTCTACCCTAAATGTACCGAATTATGTCAAACTGAAACTTCCTATTCATGTGAAGTTCCTGCAAAACGCCTCTTCAGGCAGATCCACAGTAAACTGAATCTAGTTCTTGACACATCTGGAGCATCTTTCTGGTTTTGGGCTTCTCTGAAAGAAACTGATTAATATCAGTTTAAACACACTGAAACTGATGGATTGAAAATGTTTGCTAACAAATGCCTGCAGACAGCTACAGCTGGGAAACACTGCAGGGCCGCAGCAGAAATCTTTACCTAGAACAAGTTTAAACTTCACACCAACACCATGAAAAATGACTCAGCGTGTTTTTTCTAAATCAGCCCCGCCCCCTGGCGGCAGGCGGGCGGCGGCTGCTGCGTCGCTCCGTATCAGCAGGCAGCTCCACGCAGACGTGCGTTTCTGCTGGTAGATCATGAACTTCCTCCTTAAAGCTGGATGTCGTTATTTGCAGAATCTTATTGGCTACAGGAAGCGCCAGTCGTCGGCTCTATTGGCTCGGCCTACCCGGGAAATAACGGGGGCCGGCCCTTCCTCGCAGCGCCGGCTCTCGTTGGCCGCTGTAGGCTGTGAAAAGGACACGTGAGCTCCTATTGGCTCGGATCAGCCGTCAGCGGAAAGGTCAGAGTTCAGCCGCTAATCTGAATACAAGCTGTCGTAGCCGTTTACATTCAGATCAGAGTTATTCCGGTTATAAAGACAAACGAGCCGCGTCTGCCGGTGAATCTGAAGCGGTGCGGCAGCCGTCCCTGAGGATTTACTGATGGAATCATGTGTTTTGGACTAAATGTTTTACTGGACTGGATCGTCTGGACCTTTGACAACGTTTCTGTTGGAATATAATCGCTGGCTGGATTAAGTTACTGTGAGGCTTCACAGGGGAGTCGCCTCACTTTTGCCGTCCCGGCTGGTCTGACAGAGGCGCTGATTGGACCCGCTGTGGTGACCGTATCACGAGGATTTTAGCTTTCAGACGGTGGATCGTATGAGCATGAAGTTAAAACAGCAGCTTTATGCACAGACCGAGAGCTGCAGGCCGCTGGAATCTAAAGAGGTTAAATAATCTAAAGAGTGTAATGAAATGCAATAAAACTGATTTACAGGTTTATAAATAAATTATATTTACATCTTATTATATTCCTGCTGTATCTAATTTATGTAATTTTACACATTTTGAACGTCATGTTACAGCAAAATAATTTATGAAATATTAAGTAATTATACAATAAATCAATCCGGTAAACTTTCACAAACAAAATGTTTTTCTAACCATAACTTTTCAAAATGAACAAACATCTTTATTAGAGCTGCACGATTTGGAGAAAAAGTCATAGTACGATTATAACGGAACAAACGGTACTACGAGTCTACTCGCTTAATTATCAAGGAATGCACGAAATACTGACATTTTGAAATGTGTGTTTCTCAACTTGAACAAAGTTAAACAATAACAAAGAAAACGGATGTAAAACAGAACAAAGGGAGCGTGTTGCTCTGCAGAGGAGGCGGCTGGAAGCAGCAAATATTGGCCCACCGGCTCAGTATATATCTGTCTGGAGGAGGAACTGTACACGAGTGTTAGTATAATGTTTTAGTTAATAGTACACTGTTTGTATAACAAACTTTTAACTTTTTACCACTAGTTGAACATTAAATCCAGTTCCAGCTGTTTCATTTCTGTGGGTTGTTTTTATCCATTAAATCCTTCTGCAGGAAAAAGGTTATGGTATGTTGTTGTCTTAAAAGTTACTGGCACACTGCTCATGAAACATTTGTCTGATTGCACGTTGGCTTTTCTGTTTTTAGAGGCACATGCGAGAGCCCGGTGTGGGCGGGGCTAATGAGCAGCGCACACAGAGAAGAGAGCGCCACACACTTTTACTGTTTTATTAAATTGCACACTTTTTACATTGTGATTAGATTAATCGTGCAGCCCTAACTTTATGGAAGATGTCTGAAGGCCCCCTGCTGGATGATCTGTGCACTGATGGATCACGCTGACGATGAAGCAGCGTGGAGAACCTGAAACTGTTCACCTGCTCCACCTCAGCTCCTCTGGTGTGGACGGGACTGAGAGTCGGCTGACGTTGAGCAGCAGGTCTTTCTCTCTGCAAGAAGAGGATTGATTTTCTCCAGATATAGAAGAGGAAGTAGAAATGATCAGCAGAACAGAGGCTTCTGTCTGTCACACTGCTGAACTCTGCTAGCATGTGAGCTACACATGGACAACACGTACCAGCGCTTTGAAAAGGGACCATGTGCACTGATCACATTCAAAACGAGTTGGCCACAGGCTAGTTTTTATCAGCAGTCCCTTTGCCTGATGTTGTTGGGCATCCTGAAATAATAAAACTAAAACAATAGTTAACATGATGAGACCAGCATGTTGGTTTTCGATAAGCAAGTTCTTAATATAACCCTGAAATGAGAAACTGAAGGGGCGGTGCTACCTACAGATGTGATGCTCTGAAGGAACGTCCTGGTTACTTGGATCACGATTCATTTTCGTGTTGGTTTTAAGTCTATTTTGCAAGTTATTGGTTAATCCAGTGTCCAACGTAAGTTCCCCCCCAGCAGATCAGAGTTTTACTGGCCCGGGGGGAAAAAGGAAAATAACACTTTATTAGTCGTGTTATGGAAGCCCTAAGCTGCAGCCATCGATTCAATCTTTATTTTACTCCGTTTTCCCGTGATAACGGGATCATTATCTCATGATGAATTTCGAGGTGGTTTTAGTGTCACTGATTGGCTCAGTGAGTAAGCTACATGACTTGTAGTCTCAAGATTGGGAGTTCGATCCTCATGGAAGACAAACTTTAAAAAAAATCTTTTTCATATTTCTCTCCAACAAAGTTGTTATGAAGATGATTCACATGCTCACAATTAATCACGTGCTGGAGTGTGTGCATCCCGGCGATTGGTCATTCACATTCATCAACCTGGACTTCATTTCCCATCATGCCCAGGCAGAGGAAATTCATCCGCTTCCCATTCAGGGGAATCTATTTAACTACACATTTCCTAGAAGAGAATGATTAAAAAACACACAAAAGAAGAAGAAAAAACTTCTGCGCCCACTATGCTAAATGCTGACTCAGCAAATTGACACGAAGGTTATCGGAAAGAAACGCACCTGCCGATCACTGTATTCAGCTATGGTTAATTATCTCAAGATCGCAACATAATTATCCTGTTACCACGGGAAAACGGAGTAAAATAAAAATATGAATCGATGGCCGCTTAGGGCTTCCGTATTGTATAAACATTCATTCAAACAACAAATAACACAACAGAGGTGTGAACACAAACAGGTGCTCCGAGCTCCCAGTCCGGGCTGAGTCACGTCACCTGCTGCACGGCTAATGAGCTTATGAGATTACAGCAGCTAGTTAGCCACGGTTAGCAGTTACTTTAGCAATAAGTAACGCTGTCTGTAAATCAGCAAACTCCCTAAATGACATAATATAGGGTTGAGGTACAGCTGGGTGACATGGCAAACTTTAGATTTGACTGAGAAAACAAATGTGGATGCGGGAATGAGCCATAGAACTAAAACTGATGAGCATTGTAGCACGATGCTAACGATCATGGAGACATTTTAATTCATGGCACACCCCTAACCTCTGCTTCACTTTCAGTGCAGAGTTACAGCAGCATCGCCGCAGAGACATGGATCAGTCAGTGTGTAAATCAGGAAAGCAAAAATGTATCCCATAATCCCTTTGTGTCTGTGTTTCAGGGAGTCCTGCAGACATCCAGAAGCTGTCGGCGAGAAAAGAAGAGGTTCCCCCTGAGCAGCAGGAGTGGAGCCCCAGTCTGGACCAGGAGGACCCACCAGAGCCCCCACACATTAAGAAGAAGTGGAGCCCGAGTCTGGACCAGGAGGACCCATCAGAGCTGCCACACATTAAAGAGGAACAGGAGGAACTCTGGACCAGTCAGGAGGGAGAGCAGCTTCCAGGACTGGAGGAGGCTGATATCACCAAGTTCACATTCACTCCTGTCCCTGTGAAGAGTGAAGACGATGATGAAGAGAAACCTCAGTCCTCACAGCTTCATCAGAGCCAGACTGAACAGATGGAAGCTGATGGAGAGGACTGTGAAGGACCAGAACCAGCCAGGAACTCTGATCCAGATCAACTTTTACAACCAGTTAGTGACGACAATTCTCTGGACTCGACTGAAACTGACGACAGTGATTGTGATTGGACACAAACAAACGCCCAGTCAGGTACAGAGGCTCAGAGGAACAGTGAAGCCCCTGAAAGTGATACTGGATCGCCAGCAAAGGAGCGACCCTTCCCGTGCTCGTATTGTGGTAAAAGATTTAGCCTTAAGGGGAATTTGAACAGACACATAAGAGACCACACGGGCGAGAGACCGTTTCCCTGCACAGGTTGTGACAAGTCATTTAAAGACAGCGGATCTTTAACGGCCCACATGAGGTGTCACACCGGAGAGCAGCCGTACAGCTGCTTATTCTGTGGGAAGAACTTCAGCGGGAGGGGAAACATGACCCGGCACATGAGGATCCACACCGGAGAGAAGCCGTTCACCTGCTCGGTGTGCAGCAAGAGCTTTCACGTGAAAGAGCACCTGAACAGACACATGAAGTACCACACGGGAGAAAAACCCTTCAGCTGCACCGTCTGCGGGAAAGGCTGCGCTCAGAAAACAGACCTGAAGAAACACATGAGGGTCCACACGGGCGAGAAACCGTTCAGCTGTCCCTTCTGCGGAAAGTGCTGCTCTGAAAAAGGAGACCTGACCAAACACATGAGGGTCCACACGGGAGAGAAACCCTTCAGCTGCAACGTCTGCGGTAAGAGCTGCGCCCAGAAGGGGAGCCTGAAGATCCACATGAGGGTCCACACGGGAGAGAAACCCTTCAGCTGCTCGGTCTGCAGCAAACGTTTCACCGTTACAGGACATCTGAAGAGACACATGAAGCTGCACGCGGCCGAGCCGGCGGATTCAGCCAAGGAGCAACAGGAAGCTGACGGCGCCGAACCTCCGAACACATCGTGATGTTGTGCAGTCAGGAGGACAGATGAGCCGGCGGCGGGGGAGACATGTTTATCAGGCCAGGAACGTACCTCCAGCTGTTCTACACGAACCGCCACCCGTGATTTAACTGATCAGACAGGTGGTCTAACAACCACAGCCAGACCAGCTCCGCCTTCGCCATGACGCCCAGTGCCGACACGATCCTTCAGAGACCGTCTGGGTAACAAGTCGTGTTCTGTCACCCCACCTGAGCGCGGGTCTCTGCCTGTACCCTTCCCCTGGTAACTCCATGTTTCACGTCACGACACTATAAACTGTGGGTAATTCCCTCAGGCAGTCTGCAGAGATGCGGACTTAAAGAAAGTGTGCAATAAAGGCTCAGGGCCCTCACACACCGGACGATCTGTCTGTGAGTCCAGAGACCGGGATTCAGCCAAAGACTGGAGACGAGTGCTGCTACTGTTCCCACGTCAGTCCCTTCTGTCGCGTCGGGCCCCGCAGGGCGTCGGCTGCTCGTTGCCTTTCAGCAGAGTCACGTGATGCTGCTCAACAAAAAGACAAAAGAAACGGCTGCAGGACCTGAAGAAGAGCAGCCGATTGACTCCAACCCAAAGAGAAGATCGTCTCTTGGTAGGGTTGGGTATCAAGAACCGGTTCTGAGTTGGAACGGTTACAAATTTCCGGGACCCGTTTGTTTGGATTCTCGGTTCCTAACTTTATGCATATTTCAGCTCGTGACCGACCTGCAGTGAGTCAAAGTGTCTCTTATCTGCCTGGCCAACAGGCGACCGGGCGTCACCCGTTGCTTATTAATGATTCCAACCAGGGACGTCACGATACCAGAAATGTAGTAGTCGATACCAGTGAAATTACAGTTGAGTTGGGATCGACCGATATCTGGAGCCGATGTAACGGGTACTGAGTTAGAATTCAGAGGTCCACATCTAAACGACTAAACGACTTGCGTTATCATTCAGTGCCATAACGTTTATTTTAATCACCAACGGACTGTCAAATCAAATATCAAATAATATTTCATAATAAATAACTACTCTAATAATAAATTCTACCTTTAAGTAAACTAAAATAAATCGCTTATGTTTTAGAAAAAATTAAATAATAAGCGTAGCCTGAAGTGATGAAGTTCAGTCATCTTTTATAATAAACACTCAACGCATCATAACACAACAGCTGTAAAGCCTCCTCTTCTCTTTCCTTCCCTCTCATAGAGCTTCCTCTTCACTACTTTCTCTTGTTCGGTGAGAAACGTGAGCTCTAGTTCCTCCTGCCAGCTGGATTGGAGATCTGAGAGATTCTGGTTCTGAACGGCCCGTGGGAGGAACGTACATGTGAGAATCTACAGTCTTGATTAAAAGCCATGTGAAGTCTCTTTTTCCTCTTCCTCTCCTCAGTTCGTGTGTGTTTCCAAAACGTCTCTGGTGAATCTCACGGACTCGACTCGTAAGCATCGGAATGCACAGATTTGATTGGCTGAGCAGCGTCACATGAGACGATTGGAGCGCACGCGATTGGTCTGTGAGTTTCCTGGGCCGCTAAACCAGGACAGTAAATGCTAGAAAAGCTGCGCGGGTTAAAATAGAAACGCTCCGTCACGAGGAAGTAAGTCTCAATAATAGATAAAATAGTAAATGAAATGAATTAGAGATCCATCCCAAAGATGGACTTGTAGATAAATTACCATAAAGTTTGTTTTTACCTGCTGCCATTTATATTGTATTTATTTTATACTGTTAGGAATCGGCTCAGTGGAGGAAACAGCTGACGGATGTTAAATAGTCGCTGTGTTCCACGTGTTGGATCCACGTGTACGACATGTTTTCAGAATTTTGGTTTCTGTTCTCGTGACGTCCCTGATGCTAGTGTCTCTGTTTAGGGAAGAAAAACTTTCCTGAATACCGAACAAGGTTTTTCATACTTTATTTAGCTTTTTTCCCCACTACAAAAAATTAAATGGTCAAAATGAGCTTTTTCCTCAGTGTCTCCCACAGGATGTGCAGAGACTATGGTGGGGGTAAAATAAATTACATGAGTCCATGTCCTTTTAATGGACACGTGTAATATGTTCTCTACTTTCTGTGAATATAATCCAATTAATCTTATTTCCATCCTATATAGACAGACGTCTTATTTTGAAAACCCAGACGTTGTCACATGTGTTTCCTCCTCGTCGCGCTGAATCCATCCAGTCCGACCCGGTTTGATAAATAATGTTGTAACATGAAGACTTCACAGCCTCTCTTCATACTAAAGAGACAAACTGACAGGATAAAGTCTCTAACCTGCCTGTCAGCTCGCTCTGGGCCGCTTCACTTACCGTAAAGGCTGGAATACGTGCGCACTCTGAATGTAGGTGCGGCTAGCTTCATCTCCTTCTCACAGAGGAGAGACAGAAACACTCACAGCGGGTCTTTTCAGCCACAGATGGAGCGGATGTGCTGGGAGACAGAGCGGCGTCTGCAAACGGCTCGGACACGTTAAAATGCTTCCACACTGCCGACAACGTGACTGTTCGTTAACATTTATTCTGCCTTTTGACTCATTAGGCCGAACACCAAAAGTGCTTTATTTGCTATTTTCAGCGGATAGTTTTGTTTTGACGAGTCCCCGCAGACGCCTCAGTAGCACAGAGACTCCTTTCACTTTAGCCTTGAAGGGGTGGATGAGCGAGGAGGAAGGTCTGTGGCGAAGGGGATGAAATGAGAACCGGTGGACTGAATGGATACCCGGCCCTACCCGTCAGCTGAACCTCTGTCTTCGTCCTGTGTAACTTCCTGTTTGACCGCAGCATTATATCGTCACAGCATGTAACTGTAATCAATGTGATCATCGTGTAAAGCTTTATTTTAAAGTATTAAAGGATTCAGCTGAAAACCACAGGATTCTCTCTGCCCTGAACTCAGTCTGTCAGGTGGTTCTTCCATAAGGCAGCTTTATTCGTAGACTCGATGCAGAAGTTTAAACTGGCCAACCAGCTCCAGACATCAGACTCCATGTGCAGTGGGAGGTCTCAGAGGTGAGCTGGTTCAGGTACAAGGTCAGAAATGTACGGCAAGCCACCGGGTTCAGAGGGCTCGCTGGAGAAACCTCGCAGCGTACTGCTCTGTCCTGCACTACCAGACGGTGACGCTGAAGCTTTACCGCCGTGTTTCACGCGCACGCCTGCCGAACCCGGGGGCCGGCCGTAGAAAGGGAGTTTGTTGACTGAGCAGGCTGGAGGAGGCTGTGCCTGAGAAGACGGCCGCAGGGGAAAGAAACCACATATTTAAAAATGCTCTCTTTCATTTCTGCTCAGTGTTGCATTGTGGGAAAATAGAACCTCTACGTAGGGCTGGGCGATGCGGCCGAAAATGTTATCAGCATAAAAAACTTCACTGGATATCGATAATTATCAGGATAAATGTCGAATTAAAACCCAGAACAAACTGTTGGCGCCAAACAGGATCAGCGATCATCTGAACGTTAAACCATAAAATCTGTGCCGATTCAAATTAAATCAAACATTTAGTGAACATTTGTTTTATTGTGGTTATAATGATCATTATTGTTTTAATGCCCAGCCCTGCCTCCTCAAGGACTCCTGGAAACTTTTCAAGGTCCTCAAGGAACCCCAAGAATCTAACAAGACAGTTCTAAACTTTATTAATGTCAGTAATAATAAATGAATATTAAACAGCAGCTGAAGGGTTAATTATCACAGCTGACGACAACACGCAGACTGAGTTCCTGTTTCAGCTCGATGGAGACAAACCAAGTACATGTACGACTCTGATGTACTTGAGTATTTCCACTTTACATAACTTTCTACGTGTCGGATATTTTTACTGCAGCAAATTTAATTGTTAACATGAGTTACTTTGATAAACGAAGTATTATCAGTAATACATATCTAAATAATATATAGTGATGAATGGATTACTGGACAATAACCATGATTTGCAGTACTTTTACTTTTTAATTTCTTTATGATTATTGTTGTTCACCAACATACGGAGCTGAATCCCTTGGATGTAAACTGTGTGTGTGATTCTCTAATTAAGACTACATGTCATGTCCACATTTTTACTGAATATTCACTACAAGCAGTGATGACTTTTATATTAGGGCACTTTTTTCTTTCATTTCATGCAGAAAAATCTAACAGTTCTATAAAAAAATTCTAATTCAGGACCAGAATTTGCTGTTTTTGTGCTGTTGGATTTGCTAAATGTCAATGTTGAACACTAGAAAATATGTTCTTGTATATTATTTCACCATTATCTTTTTCCAGACAGTCATTAAAACACGAGAAAGGTAGTTTAAAAACGGTTTTACTCATGAATATACATTGTCTTTTACTTTGTGTGTGTCCAAGAAATCTTTGTCAACTGTGTTACGTGTGATTTTTGTGTCATAAATTTTTAATAAATTGTTTGTTATAATCAACGTTTCCAGAAAGGGAAGTCTTACAAAAGGATGTTTGAATAACTTGAAATTCAGTGTAATGAGGATTTCTGTAGAAATAAAATTCATCCTTGATGATGGCGTCCCACAGGATCTCCGTCATCCAGCTCAAAATTCATGTTTTAATAACTTAGACGACCTTAAAGGTCCCGGGGAATAGACTCAAGAACTTTCAAAATCAATGTGTAGTACTTCATATTTGTCTGCAACACAGTTGACAAAATAATGAATCCAACGTGTATTTTCATTTAAAAATTTAAAAAGTAATTCGAGCTTAAGGTTGGAAACTAATGAATGTTGAAAAAAAGGAGGTATATTATGGAAACAACTAGATTAATTAGCAATAACACACTGAAATTTAGCTTTTTGTTGATATGAACTGTACCCCTAATTAGAGAACCACCCCTGTACTTGTACTGTACTTGTGTACATTTACTCATCTGGCAGACTTGCATTTACAGAGGAACATAAACAACTCAAAGACATGACGCCTGGAGGAGCCGGGCATCGAACCAGCGAGCTTCCGAGTGGACGACCGCTGCAAAACGTAAACCTGATTCTGATTCCAGTAATAAAATATATGTTATACTGCACAACGAGTACTTTTTCTGTCGGTACTTGATGCTAATACTTTTGTATTTTTCCTGAAGTAGAGATTCTGAGTGCAGGACTTGAGTCAGAGTATTTACATCATGTGGTACTTTTACTTTGCAGTACAGCTGGGAGTTCTCCCTGCGTCCTGCGTGTCCTCCGGACCAGCAGGGGGCGCTGTGCGCTCCGCTCCCCGCGGAACTCCGTGTGCGCCTCGCGTCAGTTGAGTCCGCAGAAAGCAGTAAAATGTGCGCCGTGCAGCTGCTGCGGGTGTCGGTCCACGAGCGGATCAGCGCCGCCGCTGAAGACGTTCTGCTGCGGGTGGAAACGGGAGAAGAACCGGCGGAAGTCCCGGCGCTGAGAGCGCTGCTCACCGAGCGGCTCGCGGCGGCCGCGGAGGAGATCGTCGGTGTGTTCGAGGAAACCGTGGCGGAGTACGAAGCCAGAGCTGAGCGGGCAGAGCGGGAGGTCTGCCGCCAGAGGAGGCTGCTGGAGGCCGTGCTGAAGCCCGAAGTCCGGCTGCACAGAGCAGGTCAGTCCCGGAGGAAACCCCGGACATGCTAACTTGTAGCGTCACAGGGCGGCTGTGCTTCCGGTCCTCGCCGGCAGGAACCTGCTGCAACAGGTAGTTTGTGTCGGAACGTCACACCTGGCAGGTGATGTCGGCACCTGAATCCGAGCTAAGCTAAGCTAAGCTAGCCGTCGTCAGCCCTGCATGGGGAGTGTTAGCATTAGCGTTAGCCTGCTAACAACATTTATAAAGTTTTTATGTGAAGTATTTTCACTGAAGGAAGGAGTACTGCAGTAAAAGTACTAATACCACAGTAAAAACATCCTGTTACATGTAAAAGTCCTGCAGTAAAAGTATGTTAACCTGTACCTGATGTATTTGATCACTGAGTAATACACAGATAATCTCTCAGTAAAGTATTTCTGTCAGGAGCGACTTTGAACCTGGAGGGGGGGTCAGGATATATTTTGTTAAATAAAGCACTTAAATAGTTGTATTATTTTTCTCTATTCCTTTTAATATTATTATATAACTTGCATTGTTTATTCCATATTTAGATATTTCTGCATCTATTGTCCGTCTGCGTTCAGCACCTCATCACCAAAACAAATTCCTCGTATGTGTCAAACACTGATTAAATGCTCACTTCTAATCACTTTAGACAGAATGTCTTTCTCAGTGTGGCTCAAAGAGTCTTTGTAGTGACAGAAGCTGGAGAGGGGAGATCATGAAAACTCAGGTGCAGTTTAATATAACTTGAACAAAACCGACTACATGCAATAAAAACCATGAAGCAGCTGCTAGTTAATGTAGCTCGTACTCCTGTGACCTCTGACCTCTTCCTCTTAAATACTGCAGGACGCTCGTCTCTGTGTGAACATTTTGACTACTTTCTAATAGTTTATGGACACGTAGCAGAGACGCATGATCACCTGGCACAAGTTTTTAAGGTCACAGACGGAGGCTAAAAAGTGTTTGTCCCTGGTCAGTCGGCCCTCCAGTCAAAGCATCCGTCGGCCCCTCTGGGTCTTTAGAGACCTTTATTCCTGCATTCTTGAGAATTTTTTGCAAGTAGAGACCATAACTAAATAAACCTTTTAAAATATATTTTCAAACGTAGAAACATCCCTCTAACACCCCTAAAGTAAAGAACTCACTTCAGCTGAGCCCCTGAGTAGATAACTAAATAATCCAGATCATCATCAGTCTGACCACAAACTGCTGCTTTGACCTCGTCTCTGCTGTCTGTCTCATGGTCACCATGTCAGCGCTGCTGCTCCTGGCCAGTTGCAGGTAGAGAACTTAAAATCTTTACTCAAGAAAAAGTACAATTACTCCCATAAAAAGGAAAAAATGACAAAGCTACTCATGTATAAATATAATAATATATTTTATCTGCTGTTCAGGTTTGAAACAGCTGCAACATGGTTCTTTCTAGGCAATGAAATTTGCTTTGCTGCCTGATTATCTTTAGTTATTTCTGTTTAATAATTATTTTCCTCTTTAAATCTCCATGAATGTGTTGATAAGATCACTTTAAAATATCAGCTTTCTGCCCGGCCGACTGTTGTTGCCTGTATCTTTTATTAGGGAGATGTAGCCGACCAAACCGCTTGCTTTGCAGCAGCAATCTGATTATTCCTGAAGCATCTAAATAATCTTCACAACACAAAGAATGATTGTGGCAGCAACACGGAGCAGCTCGTTGTTGAAGATACAGAGGAAGCTGTGCGTCATGCGTAAAACCCAACAGGATGTTTTATCCACCATATTTTCTCTCTGTGCATCTCAAAAATAAATAACAGCTGGTAGCTGCTGAGTGAAAGATTCGTTTCACCGGCGACCTTCTGTTCACAGTAACCAGTGTAAAAAAACAGGCTAATATCCATCAGAAGAAAGCGATGCTCTCTTCAACAACAGGATACTGTTAATATATCAGAATCAATCTAGTGATGTTACCGTGTGAAGTTTACGTTTTCTCTGCAGAGACTAAAGACGCTTTCAACGTGCCGTTAATGGAAAGTGAAAGTATTTATTTGCCGGCTTGTTAAAGAGCGACGCCGGCTGTTTTCCAACAGGCCAGCAGTGGATTTCATTAGAACAATAAAGCCTTAAACTGAAAAGGTATCTGCCTGATTTTCTAAATGTTTGCGTCTGTCCAGCTCCTTCATCTCTGTGATAAACGCCCGTCTCTGTACCACAGAGGAGACCTGCGCTCTTCTGCGTAACACAGCCTGGCTGACGGCTCATTGGGTGAACGAAGCCTATAGCAGATCACAGACTGGAGAAGGTATGAATGGAAAATGTAGCGAACTTAAAAGTAAATTACTGGCCCACAGAAAATACTGGAGTAAAGAGTAAAAGTAGGCTACAGTTTTAAAAAATTACTTTTTAATTTTGCTAAATGATTTTCCTTGTAACACGTCACTACCCCCCCGCTGCTGTCTGCAGGTACGAGAGGAACAGCACAAAATAAACACAATATTCAGGCTCATTTTTTCTCCCTTAACTTTTCACCACCGCATTCGCCTTCTGACGCATGTTTTCTGTAGGCTACATGACTGCGGCGCATTACGGCTGCGGCGCGTTGCGGCTGATGGCAGCTGACAGCCGATACGTCCACCAGACGCGGCCGCCGCTCCGCAGAGAATATGTCTGCAGTCTATTTTTGACAGAAGCCGCGTCGAGCTGCTCAGGCGGCGGCGGCGGATAGAAGCAGCCCGTCTTCATCCGTCCTCGGCAGGTGGAAGGTCAGGGTAGGTGGTTTTCATTCTTCCTGTTTGCACTGATCTATTTTTTTATTTATTTTTGGGAGTGAAATGCTCCGTTACGGACGTACACACAGATTTACTGATTTACTTACCAAATCATACTTTAACATGAGGAGCAGTGAAGGCCATTTAAAAAGTACTACTTGGGGTACTTAGTAGAGTAAATGTGACATTTTTCTTCTTCTACGACTCCTCCTTTACCTGAGGAAGACCAGCTGTGATGTCCAATCCCAGAGGTGGAAAGAGTACAAAAATATTCTACTTAAGTAAAAGTACTAATACTTTGAACTTTTACTTAAGTCAAGTAAAAAGTTACTTAGTTACTTTTTAACCTCCTAAAAGAACTTGTTTATACTTTAATATCTTATTTATACTTTAATTGAATTAAATCACAGTTTTCTGTGATTCGATAAGGGAACAAAGCCGTGTGACGCTTTCAGTTTTAGTTTGTTTGACAGATACTTTTCCAAAATCAGTGGTGAAAAAAGAGATTTCATGTTATGAGAGTTTTTATTTCATTAGGAAACTGATTAGACTGGCAGGAAACACTGACCTGTACATGAAGTCATGTCCCTATTTACATTCAGACCGGTGGTCGTTTTAATGGGACTTCATGAGCGTTGGTATAATAAATAACTAGTTAGCAGCAGGTTGCTGACCGACACTGCACCGATGTCTGTTTGGAGCAAAGCGTCGTACCAAACTATGAAAACTTATTTTTAACCACCAATGGAAGCACTAGTGTTGTAGTCAAGACTGGCCAAACCGAGACCAAGACTTTTAGGGGCCGAGACAAAGACCAGTTTCCCACATTATGACAGAATAAAATGTGGAACGAGATCAGATTGATCTGAAAGATCCACATTCCCATTAAAACACCCACATACAAACAGTAAGAGCTGAAATCAACGTCAGCATCTTTATTCAACGCTCCTTTTCCACGCTGAGCATCGCGGGGAGTCATTAACAGGAACAACACGTTTAATCAGGGTTATTGGTTGTGGGCAAAGCAATATGTTTTCCGTCCAGTCAAAGTTTGGATGACAAAAGCACTTTATTGATGTTTCCAAAGTTCTGGTCTTGAAATAAAACCCAGAGTCCTCAATGACCGAGACAAGACGGAGTACAAATGCGGTCCAGTCCGAGACAAAGACCTTCAAAAAGTGGTCTTAAGTCCGGTCTCGAGTGCTACAACACTAGGAAGCACTGACCTGTACATCAGGGGTCCTCAGCTACATTTGGTCTGAGCAGACACTGCAGGGGCCCGACTTTCTAAAATAATTGCCATATTACTGATTACAGTTTTTCTCACTGGCTTTTTCTGTTTCTCAGATCAGAACAGAAATTCTCAAAACTATTTGTTCAACCTCCACATCATAAAAGCATTTTCTTTTGAACTAACTGCAAATGCTTTGACACACTGATGCAAGTGATTCTGCCGTTTCCTACATTATCAGTTGCTTCGGTCATGCTGGTTCTGGTTCTCTGTTGAATAGTCTTACTGCCCGAAGCATCGAGGCATAACTGCGTTGTACAAGTCACTACATGCAAAATGGTTCAACATGTTGTCATAATCTGTCAAGCACATTTTCTCTGCAGTCTATCAGACTATTTTTTATTTTTTTGTAAATGTTCTGAATTGCTCTCAGGTGAATCTTGACTTTCACTAATGAAGGGCAGCGTGTGATCAACCAGTGATGAAGCCTGCTTCTTGTATACAAACACTCCTGGATGGGGGCCAAAGTGCTTCAATAGCCGGTCAGAAGACCGTAGTCAGCGTAGATTACACTTTGTTTGTAAATTCTTGTTGACTTAATAATAAACTGTCATTATAGATTTGAATCTGTTTGTGTTTTATTTCGCATATTAATATAACATGCATGACCGCGCTGCAGGTCAGCGACACCGGCCTCCGCGTGCCTCCCACTTTCCACGCGGACTAGCGCTACCAACAGATCTACTGCGCATGTGTGGAACGGGTCCACCAAGCTGACTGCTGAAGGTAGTATAAACAGAAGTAGTTGGCGTCCGCGGGGTCCGCATCCGTGTCCACGTGCGCTCCTGAGTATAATGGAGGTTTAAGTCAGCTGCTAGCCAAAAAGCTAAAGTAATAACGAGGGAGAGAGGCGTTCTTTCCACAGCTGGAAGCCGTCAGGCCGAACTTAGCTGTGTCACACTCAGAGGTGCAAAGAACGTGGTCTTCGTAAACGATGTGAGACCAGCAAAAAGCTTTCAACCGCAAACAATTTTGTATTGAAGCATCTGCTAAGAAATGTGAAACTTGGCTTGTAGAAAGAAACTCCGGCAGCTAACGTTACCGCCAGTGAAGCATCCACTCGGCAGGAGGGAGTGGCGTTAATCAACGTTTTGTTTTTTGGAATACTGAATACTTCTCTTATAAACACGTGCAAAACAGTGACATTAGTTCAAAAGTCAGTTTGTTTTTTACTCTCAGACAGTGGCGTTAAACATTATATGCTTCTTAATAATCACATTTATTGCTGCTGTTATAAAGACATGATCACTTTAAACAGTCGGGAGAGACTTGTTTTGTTTTTTCTATTTCAGCCAGTGACATTAAGAAATGTTATGTAGTGTAAAAATCATCGCGGGGGTCCTGCTTTGTTTTTATTAGTTTTAAATAGCCGATATGATCCAGCGTCCTCTGGCCTGAGAGGCTGCAGTGACTCCTCAGGTTCATTATTGTTCCAGTAAAGTGGATTCATTTCTAAAACGCGCTGCAGGTTTCCGTCACTTTTAAGGACGGGGTGAAAGTAATTGTAACAGAACGAGTAATGTGACTGTTTACTTTTAATACCCAGTAATAAGTAAAGTAATGTTATTACTTTTTAAATGGGTAATAAGTAAAAAGTAAGTCATCACAATTTCTGAGTAATTTGCCAACACTGCTGCTGGATATGTCGTATAAACTGATGCGCCGCGAGGACAGAGCGCTGCTTTCTGCCCCCTGGTTGCATCTCGGTGGCGACGCTGCACAGAAACCCGTCCGTAGACGGAGCACAACACAGTGTTACAGTCTCTGACAATGGAAGAACAACAAGCCAATGAATGAGCAGGAGCAGTAAGGCTACGTGGTGGAAGGGTAGAAGAGGCCAACCTGATGAAACAAGGGCCACAATTGTGCACCATGTTCTCAATCATGGCCTCCCAATGGCTGAGGCTGGTCGAAGGGTGCAGCCAAATGTTGGGAGAACAACCGTGTCTTCAGTCATTCAGACGTCTCGTAGACAGAACAGGTATGTAACCCAACAATACACACTGTACTGCAATATTGCATACTCACTGTATCAGAATCAGAAATACGTTATTGATCCCCAAAGGGAAATTCTGTAAAATGCTTCATTTGACAGTATACAGTAAATACTACTTCATACACATACATCGTGTACAGTATATTGTAGCACACAAACACATGCAGTATATATACAGTGATATATTTTTGAATATCTTACTCAATCTTGTGTTTTGCATACCGTTTTTCCCCGTATAGGACTGCAGGACGACCGCACGGGGGTGGCAGAGGGCCCCTTTTCAACAGGAGGAGGCTATGTGCACCATGGTCATAGAAAATAATGCCGTTAGACTAAGGGAGATACAAAATGCCTTTATAGAAGACGACAATATATTTAACATCTGATCTGTTAGCAGCTCAACTATTGACGGGGTGAAAAAACATCAGATGAGCAAGAAACGTTTGTACCATTTGAAAGGAATGGTGACAGAGTGAAGGAGCTGCGGTACCAGTATGTACAGGTAAAAGATCTACGCACATACAGTAACTGTACTTTACAGTAAACAACATTGTATGTATGTGTGTATATATATCTATTACAGTAAGTGTACACATGTAATTAAGAAAACTCATTCTGTGTCTTCTGGGATGAAGCCTATAATGGAACTGGAATCAAGTGATCCTCCTGTCAACCTCCGATACCTGGACGAGGCTGGCTTCAACCTGGCTGAAGGTCGAAATGTCATCAGCCAAAGAGCCGCTGTAGATGTGCCGGGCCAAAGGGGAGGGAACCTCACTCTGTGTGCTGCTATTTCAGATCATGGTGTGCTAACTCGTCTTCCCATTGTAGGGCCATACGACACGCAGCATGTCCTCACCTTCTCACCCTGTACAGAAATGGTACTACGAGTCTACTCGCTTAATTATCAAGGAATGCACGAAATACTGACATTTTGAAATGTGTGTTTCTCAACTTGAACAAAGTTAAACAATAACAAGGAAAACGGATGTAAAACAGAACAAAGGGAGCGTGTTGCTCTGCAGAGGAGGCGGCTGGAAGCAGCAAATATTGGCTCACCGGCTCAGTATATATCTGTCTGATGTCTCCATCCACAACCTGGAGGAGGAACTGTACACGAGTGAGTTAAATAAAGAGTATAATGTTTAGTTAGTTTACCGTTAATACAATATACAAACAGTAATATATTAAATACTCTGTTCATTATAATTTCATATAGTCTCTTTTTTGCCACTAGTTGAACATTAAATCCAGTTCCAGCTGTTTCATTTCTGTGGGTTGTTTTTATCCATTAAATCCTTCTGCAGGAAAAAGGCTCTCCATCGGTCTCTAATTTGTTAATGCTCAGTACTAACTGGTCAATAATCATGTTGTCATATTTCCATATTAAAGCGAAAAAGAGCTTATTTATGAGCCAATATTTAGATTTTGAAAATTATTTGGATAGCAGACCCCTTTCCTGTACAAACTACACCCCGAACAGGCTGGTCTGGATGTGGAATACCTTTTCCTAAATGGATAATATTAATGAAATAGATTACTGTCTGAACAACTGAACATGTAAGCAATTGCACACCAATAAATATTTGCTGCAGGATGGTGTAACTTTTTCAGCCATCTGTAAACAGAGAGCGAGAATAAGCATGTGTAATTTACCTTACACATAATCTGCTGTAATAACTACTTTCAAAGTAGCGTATTCACATCTAGTTTATCTCTTTACCAGCACTCTTTAATAATATTCAAAGCTACAAGAAACCATTTCTCAACCACCATCCCTGACACAATGACCCAGAGGAAACGCTGCTGTTGAAGGCATCTAATACTACGTGACTGTCTACAACTTTGAGATTTCACACTAACGTTTCACATTTAAAGCAGGAGCTAGATAACTTTGTTTGGCAGGAAGCCGTGTCAGATTGTTGTCTCACGTTTATCTACATGTCCGCTCTGGTTTAATCATTTCAGATATATTTAGAATACGTCAGAAACTAAATTTTAACGGCTGTGACTGTGATTACTGTGCACACCTGATCTTCTTGTGGTTTACAGTGCTTTTAATGGAAATGGTGACACAGCTCTAGAGAGCCTGCTGTCTGTCGGATATATAACATTGCATTGTCTAATACATATTTATATATTTCTACATTTATTTATCTCAACTATATGTTTGTCTACGTGTAGCACCTTATCAAAGCAAATTCCTGGTATGTGTAAAACACTACTTGGCAATAAAGCTCCTGCTGATTCTGACTTTAACAAGTTACTCTACAGAAACACTTAGAAGTCCAGTGTGTAACATTCAGGAGGATCTACTGACAGAAATGCAATATAAGATCCATAACTATGGTGTGTAAAGACCTTACATAATTAACCGTTATGTTTTTATTACCTTAGAATGAGACATTTATATCTCCATAACTACGGGCAACCCCTTCCATGGACGTCACCGCGTTGCATCGTCATGTTTCTACAGTAGCTGAAAACGGACAAACAGCGCTACAGAGCGCATTTCATTACTACGTTCTTCTTGTTCTACTTCTGGTAGAATTCAGGGAGTGCGGACACTCATCACTGTGTTGAATACGTACGTTAGAAGAAGTAATAATGTACTGCAGGGGTCGGCAAATACGTTTTTCATCAGAGCAATATTTTCAACCATTAGATGGTGGATGAGAATATAAGCTGTAATATTGACTTGCATCAACATGTGGTACAGTTAGCTATGTTGGTAAGATGCAGAACTTGCAATCCAAGTGCTGAGTGTTCAATCCCACCTCAAGGTTTCTCAGATCACGGCATGTGCTGCACTGTCTTTGTTTGGGTGTTTGATCCGCATCCATCAACCTACGGACGCTTTTTCATTTCCCCAGTATCTCCAGGCCGAGGACATTTAGAGGAATCATATTAGCTGACAGTTCCTTCAGAGGTGTGTCAAGCAGCTACAGACTCTTTTAATGTCGTTCAGAATTTTTCAAAGCTCAGTTCAACTTCAAATACTGCATTACAGTAAACAAGCTTCATGCGCTTTTATTTTGTAGGCAAAACCACTAAAGAGGAAGTGATTATGTGAGCTGTTGTCATGACTGAGATCTATTTCAGCACTGCTATCAAAGTGTTTAGTTATTTATATTTTTTGCTGCTATCAAAGCACCATAATCTGGTAGCGGGCAAGATATTGTTGTTGGCGGGCAGTTTTGGCGAGAATGAATGTGTTTCCCTTGTCAGTGTTTGTCTAAACTTTATCTAATGTGTTGTTTATAATGGACTGTGGTGCAGAGACAGTGACAGTGTTTCACAATCTTGGCTCACATTTTCCATATTAACTGTCAGTGTCCAAGTCACAGTAACATATGGTTTTACTGAATAATTAAATAAATATTATTTCTTAATAAATCTACCTAAAGAAACCTCATTTCTTGACTGGCTACTCTCTGCTGTCTCAGAAGAGACACCTTTTGTGCTGTGTCAGCCACCGTAGCTGTCCTACGCTCTTTGAAAGGTTAGGGGGCACTGGTAGACTGGACAGATGGTTGCAATTCACAGCCCTCACCACTAGATGCCACTAAATCTTGCACACTGAACCTTTAAAGCTGAAGTAAGGCTTGAAATTGGTTGTCATGCACAGGACCACACTTGCTGGGCCAATCCGTTTAACTCCAAAACACAAATGGGTTAAGGGAAGAGATGTCCCAGTTCGACCCCTTCCCAAAGCGGACTATAGTAATGATACCACAATTTAACATAATGTCTCTGTGTCTGTTTTTCAGAGTGTCCTGCAGACGTCCAAGAAGAGGAACACGAGTGGAGCCCCAGTCTGGACCAGGAGGACCCAGAGCCCACGCAGATTAAAGAGAAGTGGAGCCCCAGTCTGGACCAGGAGGACCCAGAGCCCACGCAGATTAAAGAGAAGTGGAGCCCCAGTCTGGACCAGGAGGACCCAGAGCCCACGCATATTAAAGAAAAGTGGAGCCCCAGTCTGGACCAGGAGGACCCAGAGCCCACGCATATTAAAGAGAAGTGGAGCCCCAGTCTGGACCAGGATGACCCAGAGCCTCCACAGATTAAAGAGGAACAGGAGGATCTCTGGACCAGTCAGGAGGGAGAGCAGCTTCCAGGGCTGGAGGAGGCTGATATCACCAAGTTCCTATTCACTCCCGTCCCTGTGAAGAGTGAAGAAGATGATGAAGAGAAACCTCAGTCCTCACAGCTTCATCAGAGCCAGACTGAACAGATGGAAACAGAAGCTGATGGAGAGGACTGTGGAGGACCAGAACCAGCAAGGAACTCTGATCCAGATCAACTTTTACAACCTAAGACTGATGATAAGACTTCCGACTTTTCTGTAGCTGAAATTGAAGTCAGCTGTGATGACTGGGAGGAGACCAGGGAACCTCAGTCAGGTCCAAACTCTAATGAAGACCCTGTTACTGATGCGAGATGTAATTCTCCTGACAAACCGTTTAGCTGCTCTGAGTGTGGGAAAAGATTTACAAGAAAGGGATTTCTGGAGACACACATGAGAACACACACGGGGGAGAAACCGTTCAGCTGCTCAGTGTGTGGAAAGAAATACACAAAGAAGGGGTATCTGATCCAGCACATGGCGGTCCACAGAGGGGAGAGACGGCACAGCTGCAGCATCTGTAACAAAAGACTTGTTTGGCACTCGGGGGTCGAATGCCATAAGTGTGTTGGTGGGATTTCACAGCTTCTTCTCGCCTCTTCACCTGCGAGCGGTGGAAGACGTAATGCTGGTGGTCAATCCCTGAGCTTCTCAGAGTGTGACAAGAGACTCTGCTACAGTCATAATTTGAAGAATGACTCAGGAACTCATGCAGAGGAAAATCTGTTCAGCTGCTCAGTTTGTGGTAGAAAGTTTACACAAAGGGGATATCTGATCCAACACATGGCGCGCCACACGGGGAAGATCCGATTCCGCTGCTGTGTTTGTGACAAAAAATTTGCTTGGCGTCATGAACTCAAAAGCCACAAGTGTGCTGGTGATTCCTCACAGCTTCAGCAGACCGAGAACAGAAGCTCAGCTGAACAGGTGCAAACAGGAGGCGACGGAGGGGGTTCGGATTCAGATGACCAGACTTCAGACTCTTCTGAACCCGAGACTGAAGTCAGAGACGATGGTTTGAAGGAGACCAGAGGGCCTGAGTCAGGTTTAAACGCAGAGACACGTGACGAAGTCCCTGTAAGTGATGCAGGAAGCAGCACTGGCAAGAAATCCTTTATCTGTTCTGAGTGTGGAAAAACATTCTGCGGTGAGGACAATCTGAAAGTCCACATGAGAACTCATGCAGGAGAGAAACCGTTCAGCTGCTCATTCTGTGAGAAAGGCTTTACACAAAAAGGATATCTCTCCAACCACATGGCCGTCCACACAGAGGAGAAACGCTTCCTGTACTGTGTTTGTGGCAAAAGATTCGCTTGGCGTTATAATCTCAAAAACCACAAGTGTGCTGGCGAGTCCTCACAGCTTCATCCCGGTCACACCGAGCGGAACCGAGAGGCCGAGCCTCCGGCCGGCAGCTCCGGCACTAAACTTCAGACTGAGGTGAGTGCAGATGAGACCAGGGACTCTCAGTCAGGTTTAAACTCTCTCAGGAAGAAGGACGTCCTCGAAGGTGATCCAGGAAGTGATCCTGCAGAGAGACCGTTCAGCTGCTCGCAGTGCGGTAAAAGATTTCGCCGCAAGAAAAATCTTCAAGAACACATGCGGATTCATACGGGAGAAAAGCCGTACGGTTGTTCAGTGTGTATGAAGTACTTCTCATGCAGCGGGTCGCTTCGGAAACACCTGAGAATCCACACAGGAGAGAAACCGTTCAGCTGCTCGGTGTGCGGGAACCGGTTTACTGAAAGTGGACATCTGAAGGTGCACATGAGAACTCACACAGGAGAGAAACCGTTCAGCTGCTCAGTCTGTGGGAAGAGTTTTACCTGGAGGCAAAGCTTTAATAATCACATGAAGTATCATTGAGACACGAGCAGTTTGGTGATACATACTCTACATACTGTACATACATACATATATATTTATATATGCATTGTTGGCAGTTTCTGTCTGAATGGAAAGGGACTTTGTTGGACGTCAGAGGATCCAAGAAGCACTTTCAGTTTAAGCGTGAGACCTTCAGGGTCTCAGAAACGTACTGAAGCAGCGTCTTCATCCAGATGTTCACGGCGCCATCACAAACACATGTATGACCCTGGTTGTTGTGGCCTGATGGGTCAATGTCACGTGACTCAGCAGCAGATCAACAGTGTTTTCGCTCCCTGCCACAGTTTACAGTCATGTTAAACAGAAAAGAACCAGGTGGGAACGTCTGAATAAAAACCCAGCAGGTGGAACAAATCTGTAAATCCAAAAATAAAATCTTCCACGTTGATTCACTCACAGCGGACTAAAAGCAGCAGGATAGCTGCCGTGCTGTCATCAACTCAGTTCTACATTCCCAGTTAATGTACAGACCCTTTCACAGTTTGGTGGATACGTTTTCCTCTGTGCCTGTTTAGTAGATGATGATTCTTATTCTGTGCTTTATTTTGCTCTTCCAGGATCACGTTGTGTCGCTCAGCATGACACTAACAGGAAAGAAGATGATCAGCTTAAAGAGGCCCTATTCTGCTCATTGTCAGGTTCACACTTTGATTTAGGGGTTGTACCAGAACAGGTTGTGTTGAACACTCTGTTTTAGCTACCGAGTGAAGCATCTCATCCGCTTCTAGCTCTATAGCCACGTTTCCACCAAAAGGACCCGGATCTCTTCTAAAGGAACTAAAAGTAACAGATCAGTAACCACGATCCATGAGCAAAATGTAGACGTGGAATATAATGAGAAGCTGTAGGCTTTGGGTTGGGTAGTACTTTCCAAAAGTACCAGTACCTTGGGGGGGGGGGGGTGATGCTGCAGATCAGCTGGAAATGTTTTAATAAGCTTCCAAACTGTTGCTTTCTCTGTGCACGAGTTATTTTATGAACGTGATGGATTTATCCAGTTTGTTATTATATTTACATTTATTCATTTAGCTGCCGCTTTTATCCAAAGCGACTTACAGCTGCTCTACATGTCAGAGGTCGCACGCCTCTGGAGCAGCGAGGGTTAAGTGTCCTGCTCAGGGACACAATGCTGGATGGGTCACAGTGGGGAGTTGAAACCGGGTCTCTCTCCCATCACCAGCCCATATCAAATTTGTAACAAACTTTATCGGGTCTCTCTCCGTTACAGCTCCCACACAAAAAGCTGCTTTAATGGTCAAGCATAGCCTGTAGTTTTCATTATATTCCAGTCAAATCTGCCTGATCTTCACAGGTCTTTAGACCGCGGTGGAGACGCACACAACAGAGGGCCGAAAGAACCTTTTAGTTCCTTGAAAAGAGATCTGGGGACTAAAAAGTCCCGAGTCATTTTGATCGAAACGAGGCTTTAGGTTTCTGAAGTAATGGCTGGACTACAATCCACCTGTGTTCAGTTCAGGAGCAGAGTGTTCTGTGGGAGATGGGAACTCCCTTTGGGCTGGACAAGCCTATTACATGCAGAAAAAAGATTTATAACACACTAAAGGAGAGGGGGAAAGCCCAACAGCAGAATATGACCTCTTCAGGGTCGGTTTGTGGCTCTGTGGATCCTTTGTTGAATGGAAACAAACTTTTTTACTTTACATCCAATATTTCCTCATGTCTGTATACTTTAATAACTGAATTAAACCACAGGGATGAAACTGAAGAGTTCCTCTGTTGTTTCTTTTGGGGGAGGACCCACGTAGGCTCGGTGCATTTCAAGCAGCCGTGTGAAGGAAGTAGCTCGTCACTCTTTGTGAACCGACCAATTACAGCCTGGATGGGACATTGACGCTGGGGACGGGTCCGATTCAGAACGCCCCAAATTTACTAGATCAGTGGCGTTGTTAGCCCTGGGTTTTTTGAAAAGCCCCGGATCTCTGAAGGATTTTTAAAAAACAAACAGCAAAAGGCAGAAAATTTAACTTTAAACTTTACTCGCTTCACTAACGTTATCTGAGAGAGAGATTATTGTTATTATTTATTCTCCTGCACATTAGGGAGAATAAGATGATCCTGCTGTAGCTGTGAGCTGCACTTTATCAGAGGCGCTGACATGAACCTGTGTGGATTTGTGGTGAGGTTGATCACCTGATAGGCAGAGGAGCCATTATACATATTTCATTTCAAAATCTATGTCTGGTCCCCCCCTCTTTCCAAATGTAAAGTTTTATTTGCATTGCCTTTCTGGCTCAGGCGATTTCAGAGCTGGCCCATAGGAGGCGGTTTATTTAGAGGCCAGTCAATCACTTCACATCAGTCGTGGACAAAATGTAGCCGATAAAAATGTTGAGTGAGAAGAAAAGAAGTTGCTGGAGGCCGGAGCAGCTTCTTCTTTTGTGCTGCTGTTTCTTCTAGCTGACGGCAGCAGTGATGGGTCCATCTAATGTAGGACTACTCTTAATTTTGCTACATTTTCCATTCATACCTTTTTATAACTTCAGCAGTCTGTAATCTGCATTTTGCTTCATTAACCAAAATGAGCTGTGATCCAGGCTGCGTGCAGTCACACAGTAAACCGCTGGTCCGGCGCTCGTCACAGTCACAGAGCTGGTAGATGCAAACATTTAGAAAATCAGGCAAACATCTTTTCAGTTTAAGGCTTTATGTTCTACTAATACAACTGAAACCATGGACCTGCAGCCTGCGTCCCACTTTAACAAGCTGGCAAGTGAAAAACTTTCACTTTCTATTAATGGTGCATTAAAAGCGTCTCTGCAGAGCAAATGAAGACTTCACACTGTAACATCTGTCAGATGATCACTGCACTGACTGAGATATATTAAAAGTGTCCTGTTGCTGATCACAGCGTCGCTTTGGACATCAGTCCGTTTCTTTTCTTTAATACACATCGGTTACTATGTGTTTTATAGCGATGTCAGTGAGTCCATAAACAGAAGGTTGCCAGTGAATCGAATCTTTCACTCAGCAGCTACCAGCTGTTATTTATTTTTGAGATGCACAGAGAGAAAATATGGTGGCTAAAACATCCTGTTGGGTTTTACGCATGACGCACAGCTTCCTCTGTATCTTCAACAACGAGCTGCTCCGTGTTGCTGCCACAATCATTCTTTGTGTTGTGAAGATTATTTAGATGCTTCAGGAATAATCAGATTGTTTTTGGCAGCCTGTGCTGCTGCAAAGCAAGCGGTCAGGTTGGCTACATCTCCATAATAAAAGATACAGGTAAAAAAAGTTGGCTGGGCAGCAAAAGTGATATTTTAAAGTGATCTTATAAACACCTTCGTGGAGATTTAAAAAGGAAAATAATTGTAGAAATAGCTAAATTACAGATAATCAGCTTCTTTACTGCATTTGCAGGAATATTTTAATGGACTGCTTAAAAAAATAAACTCATCAAGTTGCCTAGTCTGGACATTTTTACTCTGATAGCCATCTTGAACTTTCCTGTGATCCTGCACAACAAAACATCCCCACACTAGCATGGATAGTATCAGTGCAACGGGTTGCAGAATCCGTGCTATGGATCTCGTCCACACAGAGCGGAATGATTTCAAAGTTTATGATGATTTATCCTGTTTGACCTCAAAATATCCTTTATGCTGGAAATGTCAAAGAACCCAGTTAGATTCTGAATGTGCAGAACTTTGAACATGAGCAGAAAACTTGCTGAAACACAGGAGCTATTAAAGTCCAAGAGTTTCTGACTGAAATGATTTAATGTATTATTGATGAGGTATAAAGGTGCCACATGCACATTTAAAGAGGTTACCTCAATCAGTCACACCTGCCTGTGTGTTGATTCAGCAGTGATGATATTAAAAGTTGATCTACAGGAGAAACATATCTGAAAGCTGAGAGCTGCTCTGCATTATATTCTGTTAGTTTTAGATTTTAAATTGTTTAATAAAACATTTATTAAACCAGAAAAACTCTTTTCCCAAGAGTGTCCTGGCCGAGGCAGGCGGTAGCACAACTGCACATTTAAGATGGGAATAAATGATCAGTTACAAGGTCATAAAATATCAAAATGTTGTTAAATATTCACCACAATTCAGCAACAAGGACGAACAAACGAGTCATCAGTCATAATAAGACACATGACCGCAACATCAAAATGAGACAGTTAATAGTGTTGTTCTGAGTTTAGAGTAGAGGATGTTTCCTGTCGCTTTACTGGATATGATTGGCTACTATATGTCGTTTTTCCATCACCAGTACCAGCTCGACTCTACTCGGCCCTGCTCCGTTTTCCATTGCAGATAGAACCCAGAGATAGTACGTAGCTGGTCGTCATAGTGACGCCACAAACACGTAATGTTCAGTGCGACACACACACCAGCGATCCACACAGCTTTCTCTTTTTTAAGTTAAAACGTTTGAACCTTCCTCAGAATGTAAAGACAGATAAGCGGTATGAAAAGCTTCCAGCTGTGTTTTCCTCTGCCGTTGTTGCTGCAGCGGTCTGTGTGACGGCGGGAGCAGAGGGCTCTGTGAGCGGGCGGCTGGCCGGCCTCGCCAGCTCCTCCCGCGGGTCGCAGCAGGCTTCAACCCGCCGCCACAACTCCGGAAATATTCAAGCATGTTTTTGTTCCCCCATCACTTCTCGTAAAACTGTCAATATCCGAAATCTACACAGCTGATTTCACCTCAAGACTTCTCAGAAGTGGATTTAGTGATGAAATAACGTGTGAAAACTGTAAAATATAAAACTTCCTGTTGCCTCTGTCTGGTGCAGCAATGATGATGCAGTGAATAGTGACGATTCTCTCTGACCAATCAGCAGTCTGTCGTGTTTTCAGGTTACATTTTAGTTCGCTTGGAACCTCGATGGAGGTGATACGAAAAAAAGTACCTGGCAGCAGGAACAACATTTCCACAGTGGAAAACCAAACAGAGGCGAGTGGAGCTGGTACCGTGCGGTGGAGAAGGGGCTGTAGTTACAGATGTGATGAAGGAGCAGTAAATATTCAGAGAAGAAGAAGCAGCAGGTGGCGCTGTGCACGTAAACACGTTGGTTTGAGAGCCGCTATGAATCTAGAGAAGAAGAAGAAGGAGCTGCACCGAAAGTGCAACGTGAACATGTACTGTAAGGAGATGGGGAGCATGTTGAAATACTATATTATACCATCTTTATTTAAGATATCAGGGGCGGCGTATTCTGAGAGATGATATTGATTTTCATTTTGATATTGATCAGCCACTGTCTCGACGGCGTGTGACAACAGCAAGGCTGCACAGATTTATGGGCGTGGAAACAGACCACGCTTGTGCAGAACCACTAAGTAGTGCATCTCAATAGGCAGCATGAATCTACAGAACACCGGCTCTTTGCTCTGTAACGCTGATCAGCTGCTGGATCCCACGTTCGTCTGAGTTCGAATCCTGTATAAAATCAAATAGTCGTCTTAGAGGGCTGAATGGTTTTTGGGTGCGGCTGTGGCTCAGGAGGTAGAGACCTGAGTTGTTTAACTCATCTAGACATAAATATCAGGAAATAAGAGCTGAAATTCTGAACTCTTGTCTCATCTTTTGATCTTAAACCCAAATGTCATCAGTGAACAACAAAAACAAAGGAACTTGCCTTCCTGTTCAAAGACTTTGGGAGGGGAGTTTTGTAACAACACATTTTCAGTTTGTCTAGCACTTTAAAGATCTGCACTTTTGTTTTTTAAATAATGAAGTTTTGGCCATTTTTTTTGTTTGTTCTGTAATTCAAAGACAAACAGGTTCCTGTTTATATACAGTTCCATACATTTACATAATCATCCATGTTAATGGGACATGACAAGTTAGAATATGCTGTTACGGCGCTAAAGGTGCTGTGAAACATCTGAACTCGCCTTGATAGGAGATATTAGTCTATCAGAATAGGCTGCCTCTGAAATGATAATAACAGTCATAATACCGTGAGAGTTTATGGGATTGAAAAAGGGAACACTAACTAGCATTTTTCAGATTGCCGCTCGGTGTAGATTCATGCCTAGATTTTAGATTAGAATCAGCACTAATTAAACTCTGTCCCCAAGTCATCATAAGTGTAATGTCAGCAGCAGCCAGAGCGTTTACTAAATGCTTTATGGTCAGAATAAACAAAACTCGCAGAGGCTTTTATTTTGAAGCCACGTCCCGGAAGTGAGGCGGGTTCCCGGGCTCGGCCAGTGAGCGCGGAGCTTCCAGCCTCTTTGGGACGGATCAGCTTTGTCCCGTTGTTGTGCTGAGAAAGAGTCTCTGGCACCAACAGCGAGGAGCCGCCAGAGCCTCCGTGTGTCCGGATAAAGCTGCTGCTCTCCGGCTTCACCTCGGACTCATCTCCCGGGAGCCTCCGGAGCTACTGGAGGTAGCTTAGCATGCTAACCGGAAGTTAGCCACAGTGCTAGTTAGCGTGAAAACGGTGTTTGTGGATAAAATGAGTAAAGTCCAGCTGCTGAGTCTAATTTAACAACAAGCCTCCTCCACAAAACGGAATCAGACCGACAGGTGTGAGCAGATTACTGTAGTTTGTGATCAAACACAAAAATAAATTGGATAATTAAATAACGTTAGAATTGAAATGGAGTGAAATTATTTTCAGCTCCTTCCAGTGAAAATGTTATTTTATAATCAGTGTTTCATTCTGACCTCACAGTTGAATGGACCCCAGAGAGAACAGCCAACATTCACACTGGTGCTGATGGGGAACCTATAAATAAATAATATAACAGTTACAAAATGCTTGTGTATGCTGTCAGTTACAGATCTTAGAAAGAAATAAAATTAGAATCTGCAGGTCAGACCTTTTAAGAAAGTCACTAATCACCTGCAGCGATGATCCTGTGTGTGAACCCACATTCAGCTGAGACTGCAGATCCACTGTTGTGTTGGGTTTTGCGTATTATGATGATAAGTGACCTGCTGCTGTTAAATATATATATATATATATATATATAATGTAGCCTAGAGGACATAAGGTATTTAACATAATATGGCCGCGTGGTGAACCTATGAACTTAAGTCATATTTAAACAACTATTACTTTGTGTTGTTGGCCAGAAAACTAGTAATACTTCTAGTACACGGATCCTATACAAGTACAATTTTAGCTGGATTATTTGTGTCCCCTTCAGAAATCGCTCTTGAGAAATTTTATCTTTTTTGTGGCCCCTACTGCGAGATGAAATTAGAGTCTTTAATCTCTCAGTCTGGTTCTGCTGCTCACAATGAACTTTTCCACCATATTCAAAAAAATTGAGATGTTCCTGTACTGATGTAACAAAAGTAATAATAGGCTAGTTTAATGAATACCGCTGTCCAATCACATCACATGTCTGAATCTCATAAATATCAACCGTCAGGTTAACTTTAACCCTTTTTATCTTTTATTGCACACATGAGACTAAAAATATTACTATCAGCCAGTTATTGTGGCGTTTCGGCCTCAGTCTAAAGGTTTGCACGCCGTCAGATGCAGCTGTGTTTGCTAAAGCCCCGAAGCTTCATAATGCTTCATCCAGCTAATGTCAGCTGATCTGACTGTTTGAGGGACTATTTTGTCCCACAGAGGAGGAAGAGGAGGAAGAGGAAGGACACAGCAAGGGACAGCAGCTGGATTACCTGCACATTGGTGATCCAGGGAACCCAGAAGAAATTAAAGGTGAAAGCAGGTGAAATGGAAGAGGGACAAGAAGAGATGAAAATGTGTTTAGAAGAAAGGAGTGAACAGAAGACGAATAAAGGGAGCACAGGTACCAGGTCGGTAGGTCGGTAGTGGTCTACAGGTCGGTAGTGGTCTACAGGTCGGTAGTGGTCTACAGGTCGGTAGGTCGGTAGTGGTCTACAGGTCGGTAGGTCGTAGTGGTCTACAGGTCAGTAGTGGTCTACAGGTCGGTAGGTCGGTAGTGGTCTACAGGTCGGTAGTGGTCTACAGGTCGGTAGGTCGTAGTGGTCTACAGGTCGGTAGGTCGGTAGTGGTCTACAGGTCGTAGTGGTCTACAGGTCGGTAGGTCGGTAGTGGTCTACAGGTCGGTAGTGGTCTACAGGTCGGTAGGTCGGTAGTGGTCTACAGGTCGGTAGTGGTCTACAGGTCGGTAGGTCGGTAGTGGTCTACAGGTCGGTAGGTCGTAGTGGTCTACAGGTCAGTAGTGGTCTACAGGTCGGTAGGTCGGTAGTGGTCTACAGGTCGGTAGGTCGTAGTGGTCTACAGGTCAGTAGTGGTCTACAGGTCGGTAGGTCGGTAGTGGTCTACAGGTCGGTAGTGGTCTACAGGTCGGTAGGTCGTAGTGGTCTACAGGTCGGTAGTGGTCTACAGGTCGGTAGGTCGGTAGTGGTCTACAGGTCGGTAGGTCGTAGTGGTCTACAGGTCGGTAGTGGTCTACAGGTCGGTAGGTCGGTAGTGGTCTACAGGTCGGTAGGTCGTAGTGGTCTACAGGTCAGTAGTGGTCTACAGGTCGGTAGGTCGTAGTGGTCTACAGGTCGGTAGTGGTCTACAGGTCGGTAGGTCGGTAGTGGTCTACAGGTCGGTAGGTCGTAGTGGTCTACAGGTCGGTAGTGGTCTACAGGTCGGTAGGTCGGTAGTGGTCTACAGGTCGGTAGGTCGTAGTGGTCTACAGGTCAGTAGTGGTCTACAGGTCGGTAGGTCGGTAGTGGTCTACAGGTCGGTAGTGGTCTACAGGTCGGTAGGTCGTAGTGGTCGGTAGTGGTCTACAGGTCGGTAGTGGTCTACAGGTCGGTAGGTCGGTAGTGGTCTACAGGTCGGTAGGTCGTAGTGGTCTACAGGTCAGTAGTGGTCTACAGGTCGGTAGGTCGGTAGTGGTCTACAGGTCGGTAGTGGTCTACAGGTCGGTAGGTCGTAGTGGTCTACAGGTCGGTAGTGGTCTACAGGTCGGTAGGTCGTAGTGGTCTACAGGTCGGTAGGTCAGTAGTGGTCTACAGGTCGGTAGTGGTCTACAGGTCAGTAGGTCGTAGTGGTCTACAGGTCAGTAGTGGTCTACAGGTCAGTAGTGGTCTACAGGTCGGTAGTGGTCTACAGGTCAGTAGGTCGTAGTGGTCTACAGGTCAGTAGTGGTCTACAGGTCGGTAGGTCGTAGTGGTCTACAGGTCGGTAGGTCGGTAGTGGTCTACAGGTCGGTAGTGGTCTACAGGTCGGTAGGTCGTAGTGGTCTACAGGTCAGTAGTGGTCTACAGGTCGGTAGTGGTCTACAGGTCGGTAGGTCGTAGTGGTCTACAGGTCAGTAGTGGTCTACAGGTCAGTAGTGGTCTACAGGTCGGTAGGTTGTAGTGGTCTACAGGACAGTAGTGGTCTACAGGTCGGTAGCTCGGTAGTGGTCTACAGGTCAGTAGTGGTCAGTAGGTCGGTAGGTCGGTAGTGGTCTACAGGTCGGTAGTGGTCTACAGGTCAGTAGTGGTCTACAGGTCAGTAGCTCGGTAGTGGTCTACAGGTCAGTAGTGGTCAGTAGGTCGGTAGCTCGGTAGTGGTCTACAGGTCGGTAATGGTCTACAGGTCAGTAGTAGTCTACAGGTCAGTAGGTCGGTAGTGGTCTACAGGTCAGTTGTGGTCTACAGGTCAGTAGCTCGGTAGTGGTCTACAGGTCGGTAATGATCTACAGGTCAGTAGTAGTCTACAGGTCAGTAGGTCGGTAGTGGTCTACAGGTCAGTAGTGGTCTACAGGTCAGTAGCTCGGTAGTGGTCTACAGGTCAGTAGTAGTCTACAGGTCAGTAGCTCGGTAGTGGTCTACAGGTCGGTAGTGGTCAGTAGGTCGGTAGCTCGGTAGTGGTCTACAGGTCGGTAATGGTCTACAGGTCAGTAGTAGTCTACAGGTCAGTAGGTCGGTAGTGGTCTACAGGTCAGTAGTGGTCTACAGGTCGGTAGTGGTCTACAGGTCGGTAGGTCGTAGTGGTCTACAGGTCAGTAGTGGTCTACAGGTCGGTAGGTCGTAGTGGTCTACAGGTCAGTAGTGGTCTACAGGTCGGTAGGTTGTAGTGGTCTACAGGACAGTAGTGGTCTACAGGTCGGTAGCTCGGTAGTGGTCTACAGGTCGGTAGTGGTCTACAGGTCAGTAGTAGTCTACAGGTCAGTAGCTCGGTAGTGGTCTACAGGTCAGTAGTGGTCAGTAGGTCGGTAGCTCGGTAGTGGTCTACAGGTCGGTAATGGTCTACAGGTCAGTAGTAGTCTACAGGTCAGTAGGTCGGTAGTGGTCTACAGGTCAGTAGTGGTCTACAGGTCAGTAGCTCGGTAGTGGTCTACAGGTCGGTAATGGTCTACAGGTCAGTAGTAGTCTACAGGTCAGTAGTGGTCTACAGGTCAGTAGCTCGGTAGTGGTCTACAGGTCAGTAGTAGTCTACAGGTCAGTAGGTCGGTAGTGGTCTACAGGTCGGTAGTGGTCAGTAGGTCGGTAGCTCGGTAGTGGTCTACAGGTCGGTAATGGTCTACAGGTCAGTAGTAGTCTACAGGTCAGTAGGTCGGTAGTGGTCTACAGGTCAGTAGTGGTCTACAGAACAGTAGTGGTCTACAGGACAGTAGTGGTCTACAGGTCGGTAGGTCGGTAGTGGTCTACAGGTCAGTAGTGGTCTACGGGTCAGTAGGTCGGTAGTGGTCTACAGGTCGGTAGGTCAGTAGTGGTCTACAGGTCAGCAGGTCGGTAGTGGTCTACAGGTCAGTAGCTCGGTAGTGGTCTACAGGTCGGTAGTGGTCTACAGGTCAGTAGCTCAGTAGTGGTCTACAGGTCAGTAGGTCGTAGTGGTCTACAGGACAGTAGTGGTCTACAGGTCGGTAGGTCGTAGTGGTCTACAGGTCAGTAGTGGTCTACAGGACAGTAGTGGTCTACAGGTCAGTAGGTCGGTAGTGGTCTACAGGTCAGTAGCTCGGTAGTGGTCTACAGGTCAGTAGTAGTCTACAGGTCAGTAGGTCGGTAGTGGTCTACAGGTCAGTAGCTCGGTAGTGATCTACAGGTCAGTAGTAGTCTACAGGTCAGTAGCTCGGTAGTGGTCTACAGGTCAGTAGCTCGGTAGTGGTCTACAGGTCGGTAGTGGTCTACAGGTCAGTAGCTCAGTAGTGGTCTACAGGTTAGTAGTAGTCTACAGGTCAGTAGGTCGGTAGTGGTCTACAGGTCAGTAGCTCAGTAGTGGTCTACAGGTCAGTAGTAGTCTACAGGTCAGTAGGTCGGTAGTGGTCTACAGGTCAGTAGTGGTCTACAGAACAGTAGTGGTCTACAGGACACTAGTGGTCTACAGGTCGGTAGGTCGGTAGTGGTCTACAGGTCAGTAGTGGTCTACGGGTCAGTAGGTCGGTAGTGGTCTACAGGTCGGTAGGTCAGTAGTGGTCTACAGGTCGGTAGTGGTCTACAGGTCGGTAGGTCAGTAGTGGTCTACAGGTCGGTAGTGGTCTACAGGTCGGTAGGTCAGTAGTGGTCTACAGGTCAGCAGGTTGGTAGTGGTCTACAGGTCAGTAGCTTGGTAGTGGTCTACAGGTCAGTAGCTTGGTAGTGGTCTACAGGTCGGTAGTGGTCTACAGGTCAGTAGCTCAGTAGTGGTCTACAGGTCAGTAGGTCGGTAGTGGTCTACAGGTCGGTAGTGGTCAACAGGTCAGTAGGTCGGTAGTGGTCTACAGGTCGGTAGGTCGATAGTGGTCTACAGGTCAGTAGTGGTCTACAGGTCGGTAGTGGTCTACAGGTCAGTAGTGGTCTACGGGTCAGTAGGTCGGTAGTGGTCTACAGGTCGGTAGGTCAGTAGTGGTCTACAGGTCGGTAGTGGTCTACAGGTCAGTAGTGGTCTACAGGTCAGTAGCTCAGTAGTGGTCTACAGGTCGGTAGCGGTCTACAGGTCGGTAGCGGTCTACAGGTCGGTAGTGGTCTACAGGTCGGTAGTGGTCTACAGGTCAGTAAACAATAAGCAATGAGGATTTCTACAAAATAGTGTTAAAAACCTCACATCTTATTCTCTTGATATCTATAGGCTCTATATATAAAAAAAACTCCTGGAGAAGGATGCACCCAAATTTCTGTTGCTTCCAAACCCCATGTGACATTACAGTAACTTATGCTGAACAGAGGAGAAATGGAAGAACAGAGCATGTCTGTCATTTCTTATTTGATTACATCTTGGCTTCTTCACTGGATGTTGACATAAGCGTAGTTCCAATACAGTAACAAAAGATGCAAGTGACGCATACTCTGGGGGCTAAGCCCCCCCTGTCTTTCATTCCTAGAGACGTCCCTGGAGAGGAGTTTCTAGTTTTGAAAATGTATTTTAATGGCTTATTTAGTTATGTACTCTAAAATTCTCAAGAATACAGGAATTAAGGTCTCTAGAGCTCCGATGAATAATTTGTCTGGAGAGTGGGCAAAGTGGCCCATGACCATCCTTGACCTTAAAACTTGCATCCTGAGGTGTGTATGTGTCTCTGCTACATGTCAAGAGGACGAGCTTGTTAAGCCCAGTTCACACTACACCGAGCTCGGCGACCGTCAGGCTGGGATCAGGGGTAAATCAGAGACTGATCAGTGGTCGCCAGCAAGTACTACTCAACAACGCATCAAAACGGCTCTTTTTTCATTTCTCACACATCGCCGACGCCTGACAGATATCTAGCACGCCAAATATTATAAATATAATCTAGCACGTGAGATGGTCTCTTCTGTTGTTACAGAAGATTTGGCGAAAGTGCTGCAGACCAATGAGCTGGGACTGTGTGGCGGCGCAAAACGGACTGGGAGTCGTTGCAAAGTAAACGGCGACATGCACAGTATAAGTGTAGGCTATAAGTGTTATTTGCACGGTACAGAATATTTTCATAAAAGTATCAAGTCAAAAACTGTCAGTAGCATGGTGTGTCTGCTTTGCATGACTTATGACACCTAATCAGAGAGCCAAGCGTGAGCGGCTGTGTCATCGTTTCTAAAGTCCTCCGTTCTTGCCTGTCAGCACTTCAACGACCTCCGGAGTTTCAAAACAAAAAATGGGGTCGGCAGCGTTTCTAAACTTCTCTCTTTTAGGTCTTCGTTATCGACGTTTTAGTCTGGACGGGAGGTGCAAACGTAGCAAAAGGTCTCCGTTTTGAACGAAAACGCAGCAGTGTGGGCGGGGCCTTAAAGAGAAATGTAGGATTATGTTGGCAATGTTAGAAAATATTAATAAGAGAGAGAAATGAGCTAGAACTGCCAAACTGTTTCAGAAATGAATCTACATTCATGTCTGTCACCGTAACATTAAACACGCTGCTGAGCCTGGAGAGGGCAGTGAAAAACGGGAGGGTTAGCAAGTCTGGTCTCCAAAGAGGAGAACACCTGCAGAAAGTGATAGGAGGAGAGAGGAGAGAGACCTACTATAAGGTGTTAGTGCAGTCTTGCTGTGTCTGCTTTAATGTCTGTCTGTGTGTTTCCTTTTATAGCAGACATCCAGCAGCTGTCGGGGAGCAAAGAAGAGCAAGAGTGGAGCCCCAGTCTGGACCAGGAGGACCCAGATCCCCTACAAAATAAAGAGGAGATGAGTCTCAGTCTAGACCAGGAGGACCCAGAGCCCCTACACATTAGAGAGGAGTGGAGCCCCATTCTGGACCAGGAGGACCCAGAGCCCCTACAAAATAAAGTGGAGATGAGTCTCAGTCTAGACCAGGAGGACCCAGACCCCACACACATTAGGGAGGAGTGGAGCCCCAGTCTTCACCAGGAGGACCCAGAGCCCCTACACATTAGAGAGGAGTGGAGCCTCAGTCTAGACCAGGATGACCCAGAGCCCCTACACATTAGAGAGGAGTGGAGCCCCATTCTGGACCAGGAGGACCCAGAGCCCCCACACATTAAAGAGGAGTGGAGCCTCAGTCTAGACCAGGAGGACCCAGAGCCCCCACACATTAAAGAGGAGTGGAGCCTCAGTCTAGACCAGGATGACTCAGAGCCCCCACACATTAAAGAGGAGTGGAGCCCCATTCTGGACCAGGAGGATCCAGAGCCCACACACATTAGAGAGGAGTGGAGCCCCAGTCTGGACCAGGAGGACCCACAGCCCCTACACATTAAAGAGGAGTGGAGCCCCAGTCTAGACCAGGAGGATCCAGAGCCCCCACACGTTAAAGAGGAACAGGAGGAACTCTGGACCAGTCAGGAGGGAGAGCAGCTTCCAGGACTGGAGGAGGCTGATATCACCAAGTTCCCATTCACTCCTGTCCCTGTGAAGAGTGAAGAAGATGATGATGAAGAGAAACCTCAGTCCTCACAGCTTCATCAAAGCCAAACTGAACAGGTGGAAGCTGATGGAGAGGATTGTGGAGGACCAGATCCAGCCAGGAACTCTGATCTAAATAGACTTTTACCATCCGAGACCGAAGACAGTGATGACTGGGAGGCAACCACAGAACCTAAGTCAGGTTTAAACTCTCCTAATAATAAAGAAGTCCTAGTCAGTCGTAGGACACACATTACTGACAAAAAATGGTTTAGCTGCACGGTGTGTGGGAAAAGATTTACCATAAAAACAACATTGCGAATACACATGAGAACGCACACTGGAGAGAAACCATACAGCTGCTCTGTGTGTGAGAAAACATTTACTCAAAAGGGACATTTGCAGAGACACACAAGAACGCACACAGGAGAGAAACCATATGGCTGCTCTGAGTGTGGGAGAAGATTTACTCAAAAGGGAGATTTGCAGACACACATGAAAACTCATACAGGAGAGAAACTATATAGCTGCTCTGAGTGTGAGAAAAGATTTACTTTAAAGGGACATTTGCAGACACACATGAAAACTCATACAGGAGAGAAACTATATGGCTGCTCTGAGTGTGGGAAAAGATTTACTCAAAAGGGACATTTGCAGACACACAGGAGAGCGCATACAGGAGAGAAACTATTCAGCTGCTCTGAGTGTGGGAAAAGATTTCCTCTAAAGGGAACTTTGCAGACACATATGCAAACTCATACAGGAGAGAAATTATACAGCTGCTCTGAGTGTGGGAAAAGATTTACTTTAAAGGGAACTTTACAGAGACACACGAGAACGCACACAGGAGAGAAACCATTCAGCTGCTCCGAGTGTGGGAAAAAATTTACTCAAAAGGGACATTTGCAGACACACAAAAGAACGCACACAGGAGAGAAACCATTCAGCTGCTCTGAGTGTGGGAAAAGATTTACTCAAAAGGGAGATTTGCAGACACACATGAAAACTCATACAGGAGAGAAACTATATAGCTGCTCTGAGTGTGGGAAAAGATTTACTTTAAAGGGAACTTTGCAGACACACATGAAAACTCATACAGGAGAGAAACCATATGGCTGCTCTGTGTGTGGGAAAAGATTTACTCAAAAGGGTCATATGCGGGCACATCTGACAACGCATACAGGAGAGAAACCATATGGCTGCTCTGAGTGTGGGAAAAGATTTACTCACAAGGGAGATTGGAAGAGACACACGAGACGCCACACAGGAGAGAAACCATTCAGCTGCAATGTATGTGACAGAAGATTCAATTGGCATAAACTCAAAAAACACAAGTGTGTTGGTGAGTTCTTACATGGAAACTACACCGGAGAACAAAGAGGCAGAGCCTCGAACCAGCAGCTCAGCTGAACAGATGAGAACAGGTGGAAACAGAAGCTGATAGAGAGGACTGTGGAGAATCTGAACCAGCCAGGATCTCTGATCCAGATAAACATTTACAACCTGAGACTGAAGACTCTTCTGAGACTGTTGACTCTGACAGTGAAGACGACTGGTCGTCTACTGAGAAGTGTTAGAGTGTGGTCAAGCTGCAAAATGGGCGACAGGGCTTGACGATAACGATGGCTCGGGGCAAGTAAAAAGTAACGTCGGGACAGTTGAACTAGCAACTCACTGGCCCGATCGGGCCACTGCAAAAACATTAGTGTTTAAAAAAAATAAATTAGAAACTCAACATCCTGCAGTTGCTTTGCAGCTCATGGCGTGCACCATTGTCCAATCCAGATTTGTAGTTACGTGACGAGTGGTTGTCAGATGTTATTTCTCTAATCTCAATCAAGTGGCAACCTCGGGGTCTGAAAGTGAAACGATGCAGACAGAACTTAAACCTGCATTCTCTCTAAAAGCCAGCAGGGGCGAGGCCGCTGGCTGTTATGGTCCTATTTAGGGGAAAATAGACGATAATGGAACATATGCTTTTGGGCGGGACTACCTTGTGATTGACAGGCCGCTACCATGGCGACCTGTAAAGTAAATTGTTTTGTTAACCTTTTTATTTTTTATAATTTTAATTGTGATTACATTTTTGTTTAGTTTTATTATATCCAGGATGTATTTAATAACCGCTTAAACATGTTAACAGAATAACATAACTTATAAGTCTTTGGTTTTGCTAAAACACTGATAAATAACTTTTGGAAGGAGGGCCAGTAAGTTTCAAACCAACTGGCCCAGTGGGGCCAGTTGCAGAAAAGTTTAACGTTGAGCCCTGGGTGACTTACTTTTCTCTTACTTATACTACACACATGAAAAGATGGAGGGATTACTGGGTCAGAACTAAAACTAGAAGTCTAAAACTGAAACTAAAAGTCGAAGTCAAATGAATTTGGTATTTAGGATTGGGATTTGGGGATTGAGGATTTGGGATTCAGTATGTTTCAACACTTTTTCTCCAATCTCATTTCATTGTGAAAGCAGTAAAGTCCTGTAGTAATAAAACAGTAAAATGTAGAGCCCGACCGATTTATTGTTTTGCAGATATCAGCCGATATAAGCTACTTGCTGATAAATCTGCATCAGCATATATAACAGCTCATTTATAACTATTGAAAAAGAAACAGTCAGATCCTTCCCTCAGATCATGAGTGTTACATAGTTTGCCCACCAGAGGGCGCTCTGCAGCTTCTCTTATTTATTTATTTTTTGCTTAATTTTTTTTAGTTTTATCCCCAACGATATAATATACACACCAGTTTCTTTGACAGTTGTATGTAGCATTTGTAAAATAATAATAATTTGTGTCCATTGGAATATACTGTATATACCCATATATATACATGTATATGTACACACATGCATACATATACACTCACGCACCTATACCTACATACATGTATACAAATTTGCATAAGTAAATACATCCACACATAAACTAGATCAATCAGACCTCATCAGTGCAGGAAGAGAACAAGGAGCCTTTCACCCCAAGGTGTTCATCCTGGACAAAAATGCAGATGAAGTATGTACTCCTGGAACAGATGGCGTGTACACTAGCGGTGTATGCACAGGAAGTGTGAAAGGTAGCCTAAACTTGGGGGACTTGAGTCAACAGGACTCCATCATTTAAGAAAAGTGGATCTTTGGAGCCTTAATGAATATGTAATTTGCTCCATCTAATATAGGCTCCATACTTTTTGGGTCCATACATTGTATGTGGGAGGATCTGGTGTCACCCACTTAATGGTTTATACATTTTAATGCCGCTATGAGCAATATATTCAGTAAATATTTCTCAGCCTTCCTGTCCATACCCTCAGGTACTGCTCCCAACAACTGTAGGGCTTTGAGGAATATCCTGTTTGAAAACCTATTTGAGGGCATCAAATACTTCTTGCCAAAACAAACTTCCAGAAAATATGAGTGTGGTTGGATTTTTGTATTCCACAGTTACTCCAGCACGAACTGGGTTGTGTTGGGCCCATTAAGGCAGTTATTTCTGGTGTTCTGAAAAAAAAAGTTCCAAGTGTATGAGCTTCTGGCTAAGTGTGCTTCAGTATATATCTCCCTCCAAGCGTAAATTGATCCTTCCCTCCCATCTTTGCTTTAAATGTATAGAGTCATACCTATTCATAGACAAAAATATATGAAATATTTTACTGATTTTTTTCTGGTTTCCACTGTCCATTTGTATTTCTATTAAAAAAAATGTATGTGTTAGGAAAGTGTTTAGCTGTAGATATCTAAAGAAATCAGTCTTAGGAAGATTGAACTCATTTTTCAACTGTTCAAATGTCTTCAGATTGTCATCCTTAACAAACTGGTGCAGTTAAATCAGTCCACGATCTGACCATTTTCTAAAGCCAATATCTAAGTTGTTAGGTGTGAAGGTCTTCACAAATCCCATGCTAGTTAATAGTGACATTACCTTTTGTAGTCCAAAGACTGACCGTATTTTATTCCAAATTCTTATAGTGGTTTTCGTCCAAACTGCCATTTCTTTTACTGGGGTATCTAGAAAAGGTGGAATTTGCAGGGGCTGTGGGCACATATTCCTTTCAGTATTGTGCCAGCGAGTGTATGAACTATTTTGAATCCACACTATCAAACGTTTCATTTGTGCAGCCCAGAAATAATATTTTAGATTCGGAAGTTTAAGACTAATCCCAGGGGTTTTTTTTGCCATACAAATCCCAATATGTTGTTGAGATTATCAAAGGTTGGTTTTGGAATTTCCACAGTTAACATCTGAAATAAATAGAGTAGTCTGGGCAACACGTTCATGCGGATGCTTTCGATAATATAGGTTATGTAGAGACTGAGGAATGTAAATGCCAAGATATTTAAGGCCTTCTTTTGGTCACTTGAATACGCTCTGTGATTTAACACTTTCTGAGATTGTGCCACTTACATCCATAGCCTCTGTCTTGTCCACATTACCTTGTATCCCGAGAGATGCCCATGCCAAAGAAATTAGTCCTTTTAAATGTAATATTGTTGTCTTGGGTTCTGTCTGATACAATAATACATCATCTGCATATAATGATATTTTTTGTTCTTCTCTGTCTATTACAATTCCTTTTATGCTACTATCAATGCTAATAGCTGACAGTAGGGGTAACAGAGAACAGCCTTGTCTGCAACCTCTTTCTAGAGTAAATCTCTTTGATCTTTTTCCATTAACCTTGACAGCTGCCTGTGGGGAGTGTTTGTATCCAATTTATAAAGTTAGGGCCAAATCTAAATAGTTTTAATGTTTGAAATACATAGATACTCGATCAAATGCCTTTTTTCCGCATCTAGGGACCGGGAACTTGTTTTAACAAGCTAGATAAAAGATAATGCCCTGGCAGTGGCAAATAGCTTTGGTTTAATATTTTATTTGATTAAATTAATGATTAAGTTGAAATTTACAAGAAATATTTTATTGCCACTGTGTAAAGGGAATACTGCTGGTAAAAAGCACCTTATTTGTTTAAAGTGTTTGCAAACCACGTTATCGCACTTTTGTGTATATAGCAGTACATTTAAATCAAAAGTGTGCAATACACTACTTTAGAATTCATTATTCAATTTTGTGCGTAACAATGCGATTAATCGCGATTAAAAAATTTAATCGTTGCCCAGCACTAATTATTATCCAACTTATAATTATGGGAAACATTGCTTTCACCCCCAAACAAAGCAGTCTCTCCCAATTTTATTAACTAATATTATATTCGGATCAGCAGCAAGGAGTTTCTTGTTCATGAAAAAGTAGCAGTAAGAGTCTTTATCTATATCATATGTCACTTAAAGATAGACAGGAACTGCTATCTAGCTTACGCCATGTCTTTCGCTTGTAGGCGTTTCCTGTCTGCTTCGAGACACCAGTTCCTGAAAGTGTATAAGTTTATTGAAAATGTTAAATGCTTCACCTTTCAAGTTTTAGACAAGTTTGCAACAGTTTAAAATACTTAAGCATAGCACATTTTTCTAACAAACAGTGTCATAATAAATCCAGGCTAGTCACCTTCATTTGCATAGACATTTATTAAGGATGTTTATACACCATCGATTCATCCGTTAACCAGAATATATCTCCCCTCTGTGCCTTTTTGTAAAAATGTTTCTGTGAAATTAATTTGTCTGTTTATAAGTATTGAGACTCCTTTCTGTCTCCCAGAGCTGTTGGAAGAATAATATACTTTTTCTGCCCATGACTTTTTTAACTTACTAACTTAATTTTAACTTCATGTTCTACATCAGGTAGGTGGGTTTCCTGTCGAAATGCTGACAATAAGCTTGTTTTAACTGGAGTAGTATTTTCTTTTTCTTAACAGGATTGTGGAAGCCCTTCACATTACAGCTTATAATGTGTAGTGTACCCATTACTCACAGTATTTAGAATATGCCTTGATTCCCTAGTACTTGGAGCTGGGGAGGAAGGATGGGAGGTGGAAGAAAACATATTTCACAAGGGCTGTGCTTTGTTACATAAGACTTTAAGGAGTGGGGTAAACAAGAATAATAATTACAGCTGTGCCAAAGTTTGTTACCTTCATCCAGAGCTATGAAAATGTGAATTTAAAAAAAGGGGGTTAACCTTATCATGCTAATGTTTAACACAGGATCCCGGGGGAACAAAGGAATCAGGACAGGGAAACACATACAGCGTGTGAATACTTTGATCAACTAATATTACTAACAGTACTTGGTAGCTAGTACCTAGCCCCCCCGCCGCTTAGTCAAGCAGGAAGGATGCACAGTCTAGTTTGACTGCTTTGAGCTAAGGGAAAAAAAGAAAATGAAATAAAATGAATAATTACTGCAGAGCCCAAGACAGGAATATCAAATCACACAGCTCCTTATGGCAGTAAATCCTCTCAATTACCCGCGATATCATACTGTAAGAATGTTTTCAGTCGCTTCTCATGCTAGCTACTGATGAAATGTCAGTGGTAAAGAAAATAATTAAATGGAAAATGATAGCCAAAAGGAACTAGGTTCCCGTCTCATATAAGGAGCGTCGTATTATGTCAGCTGTGTGCTACATTTCACCCTGTTTATTAAACCCATTGGAATTCGAATAGTAAACAGGGAGTTGTCGCCCATGGAGTTCCACAAGATTCAGTCCTTGGACCTATATTATTCACCTTGTATATGCTTCCGCTAGGTAATATCATTAGGAACCACAGTATAAACTTTCATTGTTATGCTGATGATACTCAGTTATACCTTTCTATCAGACCTGATGAAACCAACCAGTTAGCTAGGCTTCAAACGTGGACGTGGACGTGGATGTCTTTTAATTTCTTGATGTTGAACTCTGAAAAAACTGAGGTTGTAGTACTTGGACCCAAACTCCTCCGAGACACATAGTCTGCAGACATAGTTGCCTTGGATGGCATTGCCTTGGCCTCCAGCACCACTGTGAGAACTCTGGGAGTTATTTTTGATCAAGACCTGTCTTTTAACACAAACATAAAGCAAACTACAAGGACTGCCTATTATCACCTTCGCAATATTGTGAATATTAGAAATCTTCTGCATCGAGTTGATGCAGAGAAACTTGTCCACGCATTTGTTACCTCAAGGCTCGACTACTGGAACTCTGTGCTTTCAGGCTGCT